AAAGTATTTATTTCTTTATTTTTGGATTTATTTATTTTGTGAAACAAAGTCATTACTTCATACATTCTCAGGATAAAGCTAGAAGAGAAGAAGAGAGGAAGAAGAAAGAGAAAAAGAAGAAGAAAAAGGAAGAAGAGCAGAAGAAAAAGGAAGAATCCAGAAGGAAGAAAAGGACCAAGAGAGGGGACAAGAACAAGACTGAAAACCAGGTAAAAATATAGATTTAGGTTTAAAGGCGACATTATAAAACTTCAGATGGAACCAATTTTACTTTTAACTATTACTTATACATATGGCACTGGTGATGAAAGTGGGTTATTTTTCATTATCTTTTTGTAACCTATTCTAAAAACTTTCTGCATGTACCATACCTTTACCTGTAAGTAAGATAGCCACGAAAAAAAAATTGGAGCAGAAATGGCTATTGACTGAACTCTCTAACTTATCACCAGGAAGTAATGAAATGTTTATTATGTCCTTTAAGGATGGAGCAAATCCCCCTATGCAGCAGCCACCAAAATCGCCAGAAGATGTGCTTCGAGATGATTTTCAGTTTCTACAGAAGCAAGGCACCACTGCCCTGATGGACGAAAGAAGTCGCCACGCCCTCCACGACTTTCAGAAATGTTTGGAGATGGTGCATGACCATGGGTCAAAGGTACTCACAATTTGATAAATATCTAACATTTTTTTAATGTTTTCATTAACCTGGTAAGATTCCTTGTACAAAAAGATGGGCTATTACCATTAGGAAGAGTAATTTGCTGTCACTGTTTCATACAGTGTAGATAGGAAACTTATTTTTGAATAGGTCTTGTTCATGGCTGGTTAGTAATGCAGCCAATATCATTTTAAAGTGAGACCTGCTTTAATTTTGCAGCACAGCTGTGAATTTTTTATAAATTATCTGGATTTTGCTTTTGATTTGTTTGAGTTAAGAAATGTTTTTCTGCTACCCACGTTTGCAATAATGAGTTGTCTATGAGTGTTTTCTATTTTAAAAGCTATCATAAAATGTGAACATCGAAGAAGATAATCACAGTATACTTTTAAATATATGGAACTTTCAGACATTTTTACTGGAAGAAATAGATTTGGCCTTGTTGAAGTACAGTTATGCCACAGCGTGTATAGAAACAGGCACATACAAGGTGAGCATACTGTTGTGTAATCAAAGTTTTTTTAATAAGTGTAATCTTTATTTATATATTGCGATGGGAAGTTTGACATTAAAAAAATTTTTTTTAGGGCCGAGTTCAAAAATTAAGGGAACTGTCAAAGTCTATGTTATTTCTGTACTGTTTTTGAACTTGTAATTTTGATAAACTTACTGAACTTAAACTATATTTCATTTTTTCTGTACGTTGATTTAACAGAAAAAAATTAAAGAGATTGTAAGGATTTGTAAAAGAGAGGTGGGGGGGGGGGGGGTTTGCTAAATGGGCACTTGCACTTCAGCAGTTCTGCAATAGCTACAGTAGCTGATTATAATGTTTATAATAAGGTCTCAAAAGTCCCAATTTTCTTAAACCACAACTTCAGAATGTATGAAAATGATATGCATAATTCATAGTTGTGGAATAGTTTTGAATGGAATTAAATCCCTATGGTTTTTTCAAGTGAAGCTGTGTAACAGTTGTGGCTTACCTAAGGAAATTAGCACTTCATAGCAAATACTCCTATGTATAACCTTAAGTATGAAAAAGTCTTGCCCAGGTCCCAGACTCTGGCACTGCAGAGAGGTTTATACAGGAAAAGACAGATTGCAAAAATTATAAAATATTTTCTTCCTGAGGTTATAATAATTACCAGTCACAAAAAAGGAAATGTGACTTTTATCACCAGCTGGTGTTGTGTTTTTTTGTGTATTCCAGGAGATCTTAGAAGGGATAGACATGTATAACAGCATTCTCAAGGACCACCCCAGTTGTAGGTTTGTTTTGGCATACCTTGGTTTGGGAAAGGCACACATCAAACTCAACAGGTGAGGAGACTTTGTGAAACACAGGTTCTGGTGTTTTATAATTTTTTTTTTAAATAAAAAATTGGGAAAATTAAGTGATGGCTGTTGAGTGGGCGAAAATGGTAGTTGGTATCATATCCTGTTAATAAAGGTTTATGCATATCTATGAAGTTCAACCTTATTTATTTATTTATTTATTTATTTATTTTGCTTGACAAAAATGAAAAAAAATCTTATTTATTCTAAGCTTATTGTGATTTTTACAAAGTTAAACCTTTAATAACAGTAAATCAGCCAAAGGTGGTGGTTTGATGTTGGTGGGGTGTAGAACTGCAGACCAGTTGTCTCTGTATAAATGTTAACAAACCTTCCAATTAGTCCAAGTAGCTTATTCATTTGAGTTCATTCACATTTCAGGTATTCTGAAGCCTTAGACCCACTGGGCAAGGGACTGGAAATGTCCACCAAGGTCTCAATGCAGAGCCTGACCTGGCCTGGAACCCCACTGAAGATTAACAACTCCAACAGAGCCAACATTCAGGTAAGTACCTTACCTGTCAATAGAGTCAACATTCAGGTTAATACCTCACCTGTCAATAAAGTCAACATTCAGGTAAATACCTCACCTGTCAATAGAGTCAACATTCAGGTTAATACCTCACCTGTCAATAGAGTCAATATTCAGGTAAACAACTCGCCTGCAAATAGAGCCAATATTCAGGTAAACAACTCACCTGGCAACATTCAGGTAAACAACTCACCTGGCAATATTCAGGTAAACAACTCACCTGCCAACATTCAGGTAAACAACTCACCTGGCAACATTCAGGTAAACAACTCACCTGGCAACATTCAGGTAAACAATTCACCTGCCAACATTCAGGTAAACAACTCACCTGCCAACATTCAGGTAAACAACTCACCTGGCAACATTCAGGTAAACAACTCACCTGGCAACATTGGCCTCTTTGTCACCAATGCTGGACTATACTCCATCAGGGTTTTTAATAATGATAATTATTATTATGATTATTATAAAGACCATAGTGCTACACATCGTGAGAATTCAAAGTACATGGATTTCAGTTGTCTTGTTGCCACCAAAGGTCATTCCTTAATATGTACCATCACATAAGACAATGACTATGTGCAACCTGAATAATAAAAATCAGTAGTGGAGATGATGATGCTGATGACAAAATGATGATAATAATAGTGACAATAATATCTAAGTTAATAATTTTTGCAATTTTAAACAGATTGTACTATAGAATTTCTATAAATTAAAAGACTACTTAGAAGTGAATACCATAAGAATTCATAATTGTAATAATGATTGTAGGTTCTAGGTGAAATTATGTAAAATTTGAGAGTCATAGATATTGTCATTTATAGATAATAACCAAAAAGGTAAATTGCATTCTTACAAATGAAAAGTTGGCAACAGTAATCAAAATCTGAAGACCTATTAGTTGTTCTGTTATAAAGCAATGCTTATATGCATTTTTCCCACTTAAACAGAATATGAATCTGTTAAAAATCCTTATTTCCCCCAAAATTAGGGTCCATTGTGCTTGTTAACTCATGGCCACTTTCAGTTTTGCAAGAGAAAATGTTGATAACATTTCAATTACTCCAATTAAGACAAAGAGAAACTTAATTTTAGTCGAATATGTCAGCAAGCTAGACCAGCATTCTGCTTTGAGTTTTCTATTACTATATTAAGTTTTGATTTATATTTTCAGAAAGAGTTTGAGAACTTGATTCAGTTGTGCAGAAACCCCCCACAGCCAGATGCAATCTGTCGATACAAGAACTGTGATGATCACAAGATACACATCTATTTCTCCGATCCAGATTTTAAGGTAATTATTCAGTTTTTTTTTGTATCAGCAGAAGTTCTTACAGATAATCTTCAAAATACAAGCAATTCAAAATGATGATAAAGCTATCATGATATATATATTTTTTATTTATTTAATTGATTTTTGATTTTTTTTCTCTATGCTTGAAATGAAAGGTCAGATGTTATTATTAGAACACCTACAATGTTCGATGTTTATAAGTCTGGCATGAGCTTTTTACACAACATCTTAGAGTTTTGAGATTTTTACTTGGAATCTTATTGGGCCTCCAGTGACCTTGGCCTTATGTGTTTGCATCAACCAGAGATAAAAAAGAAAAAACAAAAAACAAAGCTCTTTCTGTGAAATGATGCTTGCTTATATCTGTTTCATTTGTGCTTTATTTCTTGTCAAGTGTAAGACATACTCTCATATCAGCTGGTGGTACCTGTCTGGGAGGCGATCTCACCTCGTTGGTCTATTTTTAGTGCTTTAAGACAAGTGTCGGACAGACAGACTTCCACATGGCTGGAAAATAATGTCTTTTAATGATATTCATTACTAAGGAATTGTGCAGGTCCTAATGTCTTGACTAGTCTCAGACATACGTCCACATGGCTGTAAAGTGGTGTTTCTTATTATATTCATTACTAAGGAATTGTGCAAGCTTTGTGTCTAGACAAGTCTCAGACAGACTTCCACATGGCTGGAAAGTTATGTTTTCTAATGATTTTCATTTCCAGGGAATTGTGCGGGCTTTATGTCTTGATAAGTGTCAGACAGACTTCCACATCAATTGTTGGAAGAGTCTTAAAACAGAATTGTCTCAGTCAGATAAGGTAGGTTATTAGTTTAGTAATTAATTTGTTAATTCCTCTGTAGCTCAAACACATTAGTTTGACTGATATTGTAATTGCTTTTCTAAGACAGTTTTGTGTACAGTGCTGTAGCAAATTTATGAATATATTCTTTGGTTTTCTTCGTCCACAAAAAAGACTTTTGCTTTTTACTTAAAGGTACATACGAACCGAGCATCGGTGGAGCATGGATTTCCAGTAACACATGTAAACCACTTCTGCTAGTTTCTTATGCGACTCAAATAAATTCCACATGCCAAGGGATAAACTGAATAGATCACTCGATCAGCCATAAAAGAGCTTTAGACTGCTCCTTTCTCTAAATTTTTGGTCGGAAATTTAACCTACTTTCATGACCTACTTTTCTGCCCCATTGACATACAGCATAGAATGCTAGCAGAAAAATCCATTCAAACATCATTTTCGGGTAAAATCAAACAATGCATTTTGGTAATTCTCTTAGTTATACTAGAAACTATATGCTGGCATTTGGTCGGTTTTTGTGACAAATTGACTTTGTATACATCTTTAAAATGGAAAAGAGCAAAGGATGGGTATATAGATTAGTTTTCTAGTTCTTTGTATTGTGGGGAAAAAGAAAGAAAAAAGGAAGCATGTTGATATTTGACATCATCTGAATTCTTTGAATTTGTCAGTGTAATTGTATTATTACCTCCGCCAAGGAGGTTATGTTTTCACCCCTGTTTGTCTGTTTGCTTGTTTGTTTGTCTGTTTGTTTGTTTGTTTGTTTGTCATCAACATAACTCAAAACGTTATGGACCGATTTTGATGAAATTTTCAGGAACTGTCAGAAGTGGGCCAAGGAAGAGATGATTAGTTTTTGAAGGTGATCCGGATCAATAATCAATCAATAATCAATAATAATAAAAATTGCTGCCTTGGCGGAGGTCTGCGCTCTCAGAGTGCTTTTCTAGTTTTATTTATGTTTTTGCTCTCAGGATTTTATCAAGATGGCCTGTTTCACACCTGACTGTGAAGGGGTTTTGACTGAGGTACAGTTCTTTGATGAAGATGGACTTAAAAAGAAAGAAGTAAGTTTTGATGTAATTCATGGGTCTAAAAATGTAAATCCTTTCTTTACTAGAATTCTTCGTAATTTTTCACAGTTGGTTGTGAAAAAAGAATCATGACCAATGCACAGTATGGAGTGTTAATATTTATTAGCTAGAATTTAATGACTAGGTTTGACTGATAATTGGTAAAAGAACAGTGCTTCATAAATTTACACATACTTGAAGTGACTGCTAATTGCAATATTGCTCTCAGAAACAAAGCCAGAACGATTAGCATGATAAACAGAGGAAAGACAACACTTTATTACTCTGCATGTGATAATGCAATTGGTGTCTTTTTTTTCACGTGATTATTATGTTGTTAGTCAGACTTCAGAATTGTGATGAAAATTTTTTCATTGGTTATTTATATATCTATTTATTTTTAACATCTGTCACAAACAGTAAAACCTGTAACTAAGATTCATATGTGATGTTTTATTTGTGTCTTCAGTTAAATATCATATCACATGAGCATGAGAAGTAGGGTGTTAACATTTATTTTATTTTCTGGTACTGAAAAATCAGTGTGCAGTTCATCCCTAGGTTTAAATGAGGGCATGTCAAAGATAGGTATTTGATATATGATCTCTACCTGAACACAATATGTAACAAATATAGAGCTCACTGATTAGTATGATTATCAGAAAAAAAATCAATATGACAGTGAAACAAAATATATTGATCCAACTGATATGTAACACTGTCGTTCAGTCGATGGATATTTTTAGATGACACAAGCACAGTTGTATGGTTAAATTTCATGTTTTTCTCCAGCTTATGATAGAAGAAGAAGATCTCAATCGAATAAAGGAAAGTAGGCATGGGGGAAAGGGCAAGAAAATGAACCCTTCGTCATTAAGCCAGGAAGTGAATAGCAAAAAGAAACCTAGCAAAAAAGAGCTGCGAAAGCAAAAGAGACAAGATTTATCAAAGAAGTTGGAAGACGTACAGGAGGGAAGTACAAGTGCAAAAGTTAGCCCACGTGAAAGCAAGGACTTGAATTCTGATAATTCCATAATGCAAGAGTTGGAGATGTTGGAGAAAAAAGCAGAACATATTCACAAGGTAAATCTGCTTTTCGGAAACTTGATTTCTTAAAATCTTTTTACTTTGTAGATGAGATATGAAAAAGAAATAGCGGAACAGAAATGATAGGTTAACAGTATAAATGTCGAAAAAGAAGTTAATGTTCTTGTTTCAGTATTTTAAAAGACAGATCTATATTCTGAAGATCTAATTTTATAACTTGTTAATGCTGAGCAATTAAAAAGAATTATGAAGTATAACGCATTGTTTGATTGCAATCCATCTTTATTGAAGTATTGTCTTGATGGAAACTTATAGATAGATAAATTTTCTTTCTTGGTTTATTTTACATTTTCCTACTTAATATTGAGTTCATAATGTCAAAAATGAAGTAACTTTTTTTCCCGGGGCTAAAAAAATCAGAAATCAATATTTTTTTAAAAAATTAAATAAGGAAGTTCATTAACAGTACAGTGCATAGTTTAAGGTAGCTTTCAATATAATTTTTTTATGCATTAAGTTTTGTTTTATATTTGCTTAATGTCCAAATTGAAATTAGCTTGATATGTCACAGTTAACAGGCAAAATCGGTCACGTGAAAAATAAGACTAAACTATTATGTATGTAGGCAATATAAACATCACGCACAGCACTGGAATTCATATTTCACCAGCCGGTGTAATTCAAGGCCAGTTATTTAGCTGCGCATGTGATAGCCATAAGAATAAAAAACTGTTCCCCCCTCCTGTTTCAGAAGTTGTGGGCTCACTTCCCATGGTATATCAAAGACTCTTATAAAACTGTTACAACTAACCTGTTGACTCCAAACTTAGCACTCAGCATATAATATTATTGAGGTTTAAACGGGGGTACTGCTCCTAATTGACCTTCGTCTACACTTTTTTTTTTTTTTTTTTTGTTATTTTCATTAAGACATCTAAACCTAGTAGTGCCACCAGTACTCCAAGACAGGAAGAAAACAAGTTGGATTTTGCTGGTGAGTGGTCATTATGCTTATTGTCACAGTTATAATCAGTGCGTCAATCTCATCCAGTTTGCGTGTGTCTTCCTTTAAGTCGCGTCATCCAGGTAGAAGATTGAGACCTATGCTGAGTTGTTACTGTTGTGTTGTGATTACATTTCAGCATCAGGTTACAAATATTTGAATGATCCCAAAATAATATGTTTTTGTTTTTATGTGGGAATTGGTTTTCTTGAAATGAAAAAAATTATTTAATTTTAATTTTTTGGTGATCTGTAGTAGGACAGATAATGGCTGTGTGGTACAAATTTAAGAGTATTCAGAGGGGAGGAGATTAGTGACATTGTCCTGAGGTGTAACTGTTCAATATAAAAATAGATGGCAGTTTTGATCAACTTTACTTATGTTATGAACTGATTCATTGTTTTTCCAGGAAAGCTTCCAGCGCAGGGAAGTGGAACAGTAACGCCACCTGTGGGAGATGTTAAACTTACAATGCTGAAGAGAGAAGATGAGGATGAGAGGGAAGAAATCACATATAAGGTACATGAATACCAGTGTGTGCACCAAGTGAATTAACATGTTATATTTAAAAGCTTTGAAGGAAAACTGACAAGTGTTTGTTTAATGTTTCATATGTTAAATTGCCCAGCTTGAAAATGATGATTTTATTTACCTTTACAAGTCACTCTTCATTGTCCGTGATATATCATGTTTTTTTTTATCCCCAACCTAGGCCTTTAAACAACAGAAGCATAAACAGAAAAAGAAAAAGGAGAAAAAGGTGATGAGTTTGGATGAGTTTCATGAGACTTCTACAACTATGTCTGCGGATGTTCCTGACCCAGATATAGATGGCACTGTAGACAGACAGATGCCAACAAAGTCTTTGACAATTGGAGGACTTGAGGATATTGATGATTTTGAAGTTTGGTGAGTGTTGGTAATTGATAATGATCTGTCTTGGGGAGATTTTCAGACTTTTGAAAATAGAATCCACTAAATATGCGACCAAAGTTTAAGTAGATTTTTGAGACTGGTATATTTCTATATATCACCATTTTCATCATTTTTAGAGTTGAAGGTCATTGATTTTTTGCCCTAAAATTGCTTTTAACAGTATCTGTGTTATGATGATTTCTGTCAGTAATAATTGCCCTGGCTTAGTTCTAGAAAGATACCTTGACCATTAATCCCTGTAGACACAACAGAAAGGTTGCCACAACTTGTAATTTACAGATATCCATTTGTTTTGAAATTCATGTATTTTATTTATTTATTTATTTATTTATTTATTTATTTATTTATTTGTCATTGAATTGGAATGATGCTAGAATGTGCTAAACATGTATTCAACATATAGTATGAGCATGATGAATTAGATCCCCTCCTCTCCCCCCCCCCTTCCCAAAAAGAAAACAAAATGGAGGTACTCATTCAGTTAGTTGATTGCACTCAGAAGGAGTCCCCGCAGAGCTGGATCCATCCATATATGGTGATGGTGTTTATGGGAATGGTGTCATAGATAGTGAGTGGCTCTAGTGTTGCAGAGATATCTAACAACAATCTGGTAGCCTAGCCTACAGTAGACAGTATAGGCTAATCATATCATTCTATGCCTTTTGTCATCTATTAGCATCCTGGTGTGAACCAAGTTTCAAGCTGACACAATCACACTTAGAAATTTGTATTTTTTGGGAAACGAAGAAGTGACCCCAATGCACTTGCTGTCTGTATGTCTGTCTGTCTGTCTGTCTGCCTGAGATGAGTAATTGTAAACCTGCAGTGCTTCATTCTTGTTGTATGGCATTTGCAGCATATACTCTGGATTCTATTTTCCTTTCTCATAACAGTGGATATCAAATTTACACGCTGATTCATGTTAAGTAGTCTATCCAAAATAGTGAAAAACACAAATCCAGGTGTAAGGATTATCTGTAAATGATGGTATTATTTTTGACATCCAGGTATCCCCTGTTTTGATTATCTGGTAACCCAGCTGCATAATTATATGTTTGCCACAGAGTACTTGTCTGAGAAAGAAAATAATGGGACCACCTTGTGTAGTCAGTAGAGGTTTATTATTGGTAACAATAGGTGGGATTTGTGACGTCTTCTCATTATATTTTATATATTTATATGTATCATTTTACCTTGGACAGCATCACACAGTGTCAAGCAAATGCACTTGCGACTCCCAATTACTCAGGCTGCTGAAATGAAGGCATAAGTGGCATGATTAAGTTTTCGTTTGAATGAAGCACACTTGCATTCACGCATCTGCTCAGTATGGATGATAAGTGGTCAGTTAATAAGAAGTCACAAAATATGTCATGAAGTCAAGATATTCATTACTTTATGCCTTGGGCTAGGCTATTATACATTGTGTTGATTTAGTTTTGTTATATGAATTTATTGACATCTACTTCAGAAAGAAGTGAAAAATATTTTATGTAATATTTTGTATTGAATGTTGGAATTATTTGATTAGAAATTAAATTCTTTTGCCCTTCCCCTTTTGATTAAAAGAATTGAAAATATAAATGAATGAATGAACAAGAGGAAATCAGTCCCGTTGTGACATCTCAGAGTGATAAGATGTCATTGATAAAGATTTTAATAATTATAGAAATAATTATACACTTTCTTGCAACTAAATGTTGAATTGCACATGCACTTTAAGGTAGATAAAAGTAACTGAAACACATTATGAAATTGTCTGCTAAAACATAAAAGTTGGGCAATTTTAAGGATGATCATTTCTATTTTGTAGCAGTGTGTCCAGCAGCAATTACTCTGAGACGTTGGACATGGACAGGCCATTTCAGCCCCCAGAGCACCTGCGTGATCAAATTGAGGCGTTTGAAAATTCTCGTACCACGGCGAAATATGCCAGTGCAGCCGAGGCAGTCAAGGCTAACATAGGGGGAGTTGTGGGAGGAAACCAGAAACCCAAAGATGAGGATTATATACCACCAGAACTGATCCCTATTAGGGAATTTATGTACTCGTAAGTGTGTGGTAGTGGGAACTGTTAGTTGAATGTGGCAGAGGTGCCAAAGTACACCTACATATATATATATATTTAAACATAAAAAAAGCTTGTTTTTTCTCTCTCTTTTTGTTTCGTTGATTTATTTGCAATGATTGGTTAAAAGGTGGATCTTAGCATTCTAAAGAGAAGAGGTGTGTGTGTGTGTGTGTGTGTGTGTGTGTGTGTGTGTGTGTGTGTGTGTGTGTGTGTGTGTGTGTGTGTGTGTGTGTATTTACATGTATATTTTTATGTCACAATGTGACTGTGTGTTTTAACATTTTTTGAAGATGAAATATGCATCTGTTAAAATAAGATGTAAACACAGTTTGACCAATTAAAGTGCAGTGGTAGTCTTAGGTGCATTTTTTTTCTTGAATCACTCAAGATCTTACCACATTGATAAATAAATCTTTTCAGTTTCTTTGAAGAAACCCTGAAGGTAAGTGGTCCCATCCATATAGAGGATGAGAGGATCACAGGAGAAATCAGAAACTTTCCTGATGAAGCCGTGTACCTTATTAAAAAAGCTGGACACTTGCGTGACTTCTTGTTGAAAAGCTTCAAGTTTGCAGTTATTGGAGATTATGTGTGTTTGATGAGAGATGCAGTGCATGCCAGAGAAATGTGGGAGAAAGATCGGCAGCGTTTAGGACTGTCAGTTGGAGTCAATTCAATGCGAGGCTCTCTTGCGGAGTTGGCGCAGTCTGCCCTCAGAGACAGAGCCATGTCACCTAGAACTCTGGATTCTTATTCGAAAGCAGATTTGACTGATTTATCGGCAGCAGACTTCCCAAGTTTGTATGACGCAAAGAGTGTTGAAGTCTCAAATTCAAATGAGGCTGTTCAGAATGTGTATGGAGATCCTGTGACCCTAAGTTCTATAGCAACTTGTGTGGGATCCACTTCTGTTGTGACTCCAAATGGAGAAAATTTGGAAAGGGGAAGGAACTCACCAGCCCTGATTTCAAAAGGGAATAATAATATAGAAAATGAAATGTTGAAAAAACCTGAAAGTGATAGTGAAAGTGACACAAAGAGGCAAAAAAATATTCAAGGAGGACCACAAAATATTTCTGGAAATGCAAAAAGTACAGAAACGGGAAATGAATTATCATCTATTGCAGATGAATTTAGACGGAAAGTGCACAGTTTGGTTGGAGAATTGCGTGACAAAGGAACATGTAGCAAGGATCCATCATCTGAAAATGATGGAAAAGATTCTGAGGTTAAAAAACCAGCTTTTATAGCTGAAATGAAAATTGCTGATGCTGACGCTAGAAGCCGAAGTTTGAGTCCGTCAGTGTTAGCACGTGGTACAAAAACTCCAGAGTTTCATATTTCTATATCAAACAAGGCAAAAAATATCAATATTTCACAAAACGCAATTGCTCAAAATTCAGAGCCGAACAGATCTTTGACACCAAAAGATTTACCAGGTGGTATGAGACAAGTTTCTGGACATTCATCGTCACTGCCTGCCACACCCAGTCACATGAGCAGCTGGCCGAATTATTTGGACGGTGTGCCTCATGAAGCGAAAGCGTTGAATAACGGTGGACAAATGGAGGCTGTTGGGCCTCCAGGATTGAAAATAAAACCAATTGGTTCTGAAAAAAAAATGAAAAAAGACGCCCAGAATGGCGGGACATTTCAGAGAGCTGTTGGAAGTTTAAACACTGGCGGACGAAGCATGGCAGAAGTTGGGCACAGTCCTGAGAATCCTGCTTTTCCAGTGACCACATCGACTCTCTCTGAGTTTTCACCATTTCAAGGCAGTTCTGACTCTCCAAACCTGTTCTTGCCAAGCAGAAGAGGTGACAGGGAGTCCCCAGATGTGCCTGGAAGAAACGTGGGACCACCCCAAAGAGAAAAAATGATAACAAGCAGGGAAAGCAAGATCGCAGCCCTTGTTGGAAGTTCTGGGTTCGACACAGATCCCCTGAAAATAGTGAGCAGCATCCTTGGAGATGATGCCAACGAGGAGGAGAATGCACCTAAAACACAAGAAAACCCTCCCCTGGCAATATACCCAAGGAATTATAATATGGAACCCCCAATTGTGCACCCGTTGGCACAGTCTCCCAAACTTAATCAACAACCGACAACTCCAATTCATCAGCTCCCACGACCCCCAGGGGGTTACGTCAGCATGCACCCCCCTTTGAAGCATGGTACCCTGCAGGGTATTGGGAGCACTGCAGCAGAGTCTGCCAGAGGGAGCACTGGAATTTCTGGACCAAAAGTGGCTGAAGTGGCAGTGCAGACGGAGCCGTGGGAAGAGTACGAAGGTCTGAGGCAGGAGCACGTGCTGCTGGAGACGACCTGTCAGGAGCTGAAGGACAAGTACAAACAGCTGCAGAACTCCAACAGTGCCGACATGAAGAGGTTGCAGGAGAAAGTGGAGGAGTTGGAGGAGGAGATGAAGGTTTGGATTAAAAAAATTAATTTTATTTAATTTATGCATTGATGAACCAGTGAACATTCTTGACTTTTATTTATTTATTTATTTATTTATTTATTTATCTTAAACCTGTAGAAATTCTTGGTTTTAATTAATTTATTTATTTAAGCATCAGTGCATCTCAACTTATTTTACATCCTTGTGAAGTTTTTTGCTGATGAAAATTTTAATTACTGGTATATTTTTACTATTTTTCAATGATTCAGTAAAGGAAACTAGTTTTGTACTAGCGTGGGGTTTATCTCAGTTACTACATAGTAATGGGTTGGAGAACAGGTAGATTAGGTGGGCTCTGTATGGTTAGAAATCGTTGTCAAGCTGTCCCAACTTGATTGGAGCTGTGACTGTATAAGGACAGAGATGGCACACATAAGGCTGGGTGAGTGAAATTTATTTTTACACACGATTATATCAAGTCTGTGTAGCATAAACCAGTTATTTGAGTTATGCATTTTTTTCTTCTTCAGAATGTGAATGATGAAAACAAAAAGTTAACAAAGTCACATGAAAACGAAGTCAAAAAATGGGCCCAGGAAAAGAAAGGATATTTAGAGGAGCTGAAGGCTTTAAAGCAACAGATTGCTACACTGAAACTTTCTGAGCAAGAGTGAGTATTGTGATGTGTTTTTTTCTGGATGTGGACTTTTATATCAGCAAAATGTGACTGATTATTTTAAACATTGTCAAGTGATTGATCACTTCCTGGTTAGAAGCTGGTATAGTAAATGACCTTATTTTTGTATTGCTTGGATTTTTTTTATTTTTTATCCATTTACATCCTCACTATTATTCATCTGGATTTGGGATAAATTGATGTTCTTATCGTGCAAATGTAGATTCTTAAACAGTTGCTTTGCTAGTAAATGTCTTTCTTTTGTGTTGAACTACTAGATGTTCAATTGGCAGGGCATTGTTTTTATTCAAGATTTAAGTTGAAAAAAGCTATAGACTCAGCTTTTAAAAGCAGTGTCTTTCTCAACAAAATAAATTAAGTTCTTTATTATTATTTCAGATTTATTGAACAAATATCAGCAAGAGACCAGAAAGTGTTGGAACTCTACCAACAGATTAACTCTGATCGCGACAAATCCAACACAGATAGACTTAAAACACATGAACAGCTGGAGGTCCTCTCAAGTCAAGTGAATAAAGAAAGGACCAGGGCCCAGCTGGCTGAGGTAGGTTCCTGTCTCTCTGTGTGTATTGTGTGTGTATTATGTGCATGTGTGTGTATGTGCATGCATGTGTGTGTGTGTGTGTGTGTGCATGCATGTGTGTGTGTGCGTGCATGTGTGTGTGTGTGTGTGTGTGTGTGTGAATAAAGAAAGGACCAGTTCTCATCTGGCTGAAGTGAATACCTGCCCATACATGCATGCATGTGCACCTGCATGTGTTAGTACAAGGCCTCGTGTGCATTTGCATGTTATTGATTTCATTGTTTACCTATACTCGCTGTTTTATATCTTTGCATTTGTTTAAAGCATTCTCCACATATCTTCAAAAGTGGTAAGATAAATTATTGAAGCAAGTGGACAGATATTGACAGATACTGAAATGCCTGTACCTGAAAGTTTGTTTTTGATATAATTATATTTTATGTACTTAGATGAACAACCTGTCTTGTATATGTTTTGTACGTTGTTTTGTGGTTTCTGTAGGTCCAAGTACTGAGGGTAAAACAAGAAGTGGGAACAGACTTTTTGTCCAGGAGTTTAAGAGATGCACAGCTGTATCTTACTTACCTTGGAAAAGGAATTCAGAAGTGAGTTGTTTGGACTTTCTTCACTTTGTTTAAGTTCATCAAGTTTGTTTAACTGATACTTGAAAAGAAGTTTTGAAGACTTAATTCCCTAAACGTTACCCATTAAACCTTCATTTGTTCAGCAACTGTATATCTGCCAGCCTTACTGTCTATTTTTTATTATCTGTAGGTTACAGGATGAGCACCACCCAGTCCCCCCTCCACTGCAGACTTCTTATGAACAGTGGGAAGCTATGGTGAAGAAATTACAGGAACTTATAAACCAGTCATTGGTATGCGTTTCTTGTTTAACATTCTGTTGTCACGAATGAGATAAAAAGGAGAAAAAAAAGGGGATGGGGTTTCAGAAAGAGTGTTTCAGAACTCATTCTTTATTTCTGTGTTCTATTTCTTTAACAGGTATTAAATTCAATGCTATAGATACAGAGTGCAGAAATTGAAAGTGAAAGCTGACTAATACTCCAGCTGCTACATTTTGATATAATTTTTATGATCGTTATTATTTTTATTATTTCAGAATGAATTTCAAGAACAAATCAAGATGGTAGAAAGTGGCAGAGAACTGGCATCTCTGCCTGAATTACAAATCCCCAAACCACCCCCTGCCCCGCCCATGATGCCAGGGGTGAGTAGATCTGTAACTTGGGTCATATATGTGTGTGTGTGCATGTGTGTGTGTATATTTGTTTTTGACACAGAAAAAAATGTATTCATTTGTACATGTGTGCAGTCGTGTGTTAGTGTGTTGTGCCAACATCTGTGTATTAATCCGTGTGCAAACAGTAGTTAATGATGTGGTTTTGAAAATGATAAAGTTGAACATTACATACTGCTGAAGCTTTCTTTTTCATGTATTATAATAATTTTACTATTATTATTATTATTAAAAATTGAAAATGTAACCATTTCAGATGAATCTTACCCCTGGTATGTTATCACAAATGGGTGGACCCCCCTCGATGTATCCACCATTAGTGCCACCTTCACGACCAATAGCCCGTCCTCCAAATTTGACAGCAACAGCAGCGGCAGCACCCCAGACTGTGACCCCAGGGTTTCCAACACCTTCCCTGGGCTCTGCATCTCTTGGGAGTTTTCCCCAGCAGCCGCAGCTGCCCCCTGGACTACAACAGGGACAGCAGGTGGCGCCACTCACAGCAACAACAACAACACCCCCGCCACTAGGTCTGCCACCTGCCCGACCTGTGCCAAATTTGCCGGGAGCAGTGCCACCTGTTGGGACAGTGCCACAAGCACCTCAGCGCCCCATAGGCAGTGGGACACCCAGGAATAGCTTTGAGAAGATCATGCTGACTCTGACGTCCATGTTTCCTCAGATCTCCAGGTAAATTTATGTGACCTGTTACCTATCTTCTGTATGCCTGGTGACACTAAAATTGACTTAAACTCATGTAATATTTAATCTATTCAAAAAAATTTAGATTATTTTGTCACCGGCTTATTTTACAGCCATTTTGATCTTCATTTACACAGTTTGTTAATTAAGAGAGCCTCCAAATCTATCTAAATGTCAACATTTTCCTTATACATATACCCACTCTTACACTTTTAGGACTGAAATCACCCAAAAGATCCAAGATCTTCGGGAATCTCGTGGAGGGTCATTGTCAGGGATGGCATTAGAGGAGATCATTCACAGCACTGCCTCTATGATTCTACAGAACCAGGGGAAACCCATGCCAAATCAGATGTCCCGTCCAACTCTTCCCCCTGGTTTCAGCTACGGTAACCAAGGCAACAGCAGCAGCAGCAGTAGTGTTGTTAGTAATATCCCCCAAGTTTCCCCCTCCCTCCCCACCCTGGGGTCAGAGGACAACTCCCAGGAGTTGTTTGAGGAGGAAGTGGACCCCTGTATAATCTGTCACGAGGAACTGACCCCCGCCACCACCGCCAGACTGGACTGTAAACACCGCTTTCATAGGACGGTAGGTTGAGACGTGTGGCAGGGGTTGAGGTACTTGGGTACAGTCTTCTTGGGTTTGTGGGGAAAGCCCCAGTGGCTGGAGGCCTGAGGATAGTTGTAACTTTGCTTATTGATTTTATCACTCAGAATTTAATTCTGATTGAGGTTTTAAGCTGTTGGCTTGGGTTTCTGAGCTGACATGGAACCAAAAGTGTTCTCTTTCCCTCAAATAAAGTACATTTCTATGGCAAGAATTATACCTTTGAATTAGTCAATTAGTTATTATTATTGTACTGTACCTCTCTGTTCATTCTAACATATCAGTAAATGGTTACTTGTATACTGAACAAAATTAAATATTTGACTCAGTCGTAGTATGCATCCCTCTGTTCGTTCCAGTGCATCAGCAAGTGGTTCCGAGAGCAGAGCACCTGCCCCACCTGTAGAGTGCATGCTCTGCTGCCAGAGGACTTCCCTAACCTCAAGTAGACTGACCACTGGTCACTGGGATACAAGGGGGAACTGGTCAAGTTCACACCGACACTGTGTCTGTTTCATTTGGTTTGGGTCCGAGTCTGGTTTTCGTGAAGAACGGATTTATTAATAGCCAGCAGCTGTCACTTTGGTGGCTGTATATTGCTTTAGTGGAGAATGCGTTAGTTGTGACAATTATGAAGACTGCTAAGTTGATGCACAATGGGCAATTGAGCTGTAGAATCCAAAATTTTATGGCATTATATCAAAATGATAGCAAGCGCTGTCCAAATATTGGAAATGAACTGCGTTGAGTTATGTTACTTCGTTGTTTATTTTTGCTGGCTGATATATAAGTAGCGGCTTAAGATGGGATTCGCTCTGAACGGTTCGAGAACAATGCCATAGATGTGCGTTTTTTTAACTTTTATATTTTACAAGGATTCTAAAACTATAATTTTGTTATGGTCATATCTTGTCTAAGAACTGCTACGAATCTTATAAGTACAGTTTACATTTCAGCGCTGAATCATTACACATTATCAATTCAGAGAAGCGTTATAAAACAATAGTATGCATATGTATCGCTACCAGTTCTGTACGTCCCTTTGTGTGCCCAATTTTAATTTTTTGAAAAATCTTATTTGGACGAATTTGTGTTTTGTATATGTTACTTCACGTTTTCGCTATTTTATATGCAATAAAGGTTTTGAGAGTGATTACTTGGTGCGAGTCTGGTGGTATATTTATTGAATAATTAGTATTGATTCACAAGAAGTTACATAAATGCAGTGGGGGCAAGTGGACTTGCAGATGGGTGGGCTGAGTGCTTATTTACGTTTGCCGCATGGTTCTGATATCTCTGCGTCACTTTTGATCCAATCTTTGTATCTAGATTATTGCATTCTAGTTGAAATTTCTTGAACGTTGTCGTTCTATTTGAAAGTCGCTTTGATTAAGATTACCAGAAATATACGTTCGGGTGCATACAAGGTCTTAAAAAACAAGATCTTAAAAAACAAGGCACCTATCCCGGTGTCGCACGAGTCCTTTTTGATACAGAGCCCGATTACATCATGTTAGCCCTAACCTGTACGGATCTTATGTAGGACGGAGTGTCTATTACACGGACCATCAGTTTTTTTACACCGGGACGTTTTGAAGCGTACACGCCAGTTCTTTCTTCCTTCCACGCGGAAATTAAACACTCCCATCCCATCAAACCAAATCGTTAGGCGTCAACAAAAATCTGGGTTTTCCCCCTTGTTCTGTTTTCAGTTCGACCTTTTCAGGAGGTGGGGAGGGCTTATAAACAGGGATGCTGCTCGTGAGCGTGTGCATATCCTTCAGTAACTGGATCACGGCGTCCAGGCCGCTGGTCGCTATAGCTCTCTGGAGCCTCTCTTCACTCTGGGCGGGGCACCCGGCCAACGCCAGCAGTAACACCAAGGCCGCCTCGTGGAAGTCGTTTGAGTGAGGAACAGGGAGGAGTCCGCCAGAGTGCCCTTTAAATGAAACGGAAAAAAACATACGGTACTTTCAGTCGCGCTCAAAACCGTTTTAACAAAACACTTTCAATTGAGGAAGTAGATGTTTAGGCCCTACTGCACCTCACTGTATTTTGAGAGGGGGGGATAAGGGAATCTCAAATCATAAATTCTATATACCGAAATACAGACATAGACTAAGTTCAATAAAAAAATCCCGCCTTTGTTAAAAAAATATAAAAAAGAACGCTAATCACAATTATCAATTTAATATAAGTTTTGCCAGCCATGATAGAAACTACGCAGTCTAAATTATTGATCGGAAACAAAATATTATATTATTTAGGCATAAATGAAATGAATAATTCTTATTACCGTGTGTAGGGTCGTCGCAATCTAGAGTGTTCATGAGCGCATCAAGGTTTGGCTTGGACATCAACAAGCGTAGTTTGTTCACAATTTTCTGGACCAACTCTTGCGCTTGCTGGCGCTGCTGCAGATCAAAAATTACTGGAAACGGTTGGTATCCTTGCTTTCGGCCGTTGTAGGAATTTGCCGACTTAATCCACGGGGTTTCCTTTCGATTTTCCCGACGGCCAGTTCCTTCGAGCCTCCCCGTCGCCATGAAGGCTTGAAGATCGTGCAGATGATAGCAGACGACCGGGTGAAACGTTTGCAGCACGAGCAGAACCGTGAAAGTTACCCATAGATGGCGCTTCATATTTTGTGTGGCGTGTTTTGAATCGCTGAAGCACTTTCTGGCAGACGGTTGAACTGCAATACATATAATAAATAAAGCATCTAAAGCGCAGAACTATCATTAGACTGTGAAGCGAATAAAGCAATCAAATCTTTGCTACGTAACATGATAGCGGATAGGTACTGTACATAGCATTAAAATCTGAAGTTGGAAAAAAAACAGTTATACAGGCCCAAGGCATGAGAGTCAAGATTTTTATTCCTTTTGATCAAAAGACACCTACGCTCATATCCCTTTTTCCTTTGCACAGGGTCAGGCAACGTGGGTTGATCTTTTCAGTGATCATTAATTCTGATACCGGCAAAGGTAGACGTGATGGATTCAATTGCTTGTCAGGGCTCGCACAGAAATTACTTTCAGCTCAGTCATTTTCACTTTATTGTTGAGTTAATGCTCCAAACAGGCGATGAAAAAGACCACTTTATCCTCTGGCTGACTAAAAATAACCCCTTTAAGCCTTATATCAGATGAGGGATAGATTTAACGATCTTCAAAAAGAACTAAGAGGTGGATCAACTGGATCTTATTTATCCATTTGGAGGTTTGCAGCTGTTACATACTGTACAAGATGGTTCGTGTGCGTGCGTACGTGCGTGCTTGGTAGCACGTTCCAAGAAGTGTGCGAAGAATGTTCACGACGGCATACTTAGACGTTTTCTTTTTTGTGCTCAACAAAATACGCGCCAACGGTATACTAGACTATTCACTAAAAATGAACAACATGGAAACCATCTTCCTACCCCTCCTCTACCAAGATTTTGAGTCACCAACTGTAGGAACCTGAAGCACTTTCTTATTAGCAATTATTACGCAGCTTCTCTGTGCTTCAGAGGTTTGAAGGTGATGAAAAATAAAAAAGATTACGCATTTTTAAACGTAATTATAAGCGTTAGGGTTGAACAATAACTCATTCTAAGAACAGGCCTCCTGCAACGGAGAGCATTTGGTAAAAAAAGGGAACTTGCTGCTGCAACGTGGGACGCCCCCACGTCATTCATATAAATTTGATCAATGTAAACAAACCAAGTGCTGTTTAATATCAGGTCTGTTGATTGGTTTTGTATAGTCCTGAGGGAGCGAAGAGTCTTCATATATCAGAAGCCTAACTTTTGGACTTGATAGCCGATAAAGTCGACTTTGAGATATTGGATTTTCTGCGCTCTTCGAACGGTTGGCCTACATTAAATGCTGTTGACATGACAATTTGCTCGTGTAGCTCATTTAAAATACCGAAAAATACCAGCCTTATAGCTACTCTCTGAAACGCAAATTAGACGACTCAGACATTTTAAAACAGTTTTGCAAAAGACCCATTTGTGGCTTTAGTCGTTTCAGGTCCCTGAGTCTGCGGTATTTAGATCTGTTTGTTTGATCCCTGTATGAAAACACTCACAGACGCATAATTCACCTCAAATATAACACAACGTTTGTGCCGCAAGAAATACATTATCCACACTTTTCAGAATTCGTGCGCGACCATGGGTTAAATGATAAATGCTTTGTTTGAAGTACCTCATTTTTCAATCAGTTCTACTTGCAGATACCACCCGTTATTTTACCTAAGCGGATGTTATTTATTTGCGAACTGATTCCCATGCATGATACAGTCACCCATGCAATGCATTTCACTGTTCAAATTTACGATAATAATTTCTTCAAAACAATTGTTCAATTTAACCGTATCCTCATTCCCTGAAGCCTTTTGTTTTTTTTTGGACACCAATATTGGTGTGCAAATAACAATTTACTACTGTATTATATATTCTCCCCTTCCCCTCATGTCCTGTGCAAACTTCACCTTTTAATTGTGGTGTAGTATAGTCTCTAAGCGCGTTTTAGGGAGCATTGGATATCAAACCTCGATGTTCCTGTTACAACAACTGTGCTTTTAATGTTGCATACACGTCACTTGTAGGTAATATAACAATAACTGATCACAAAATTAACATTATTTGACACGAAAAGCCTTCACTTCTTAACACGTGCGTTCGCTAGTCTTTAAATGTACGTACTTCAATTGCAAAGCACGCAGTCTCGAATTCTACCTTAACTTGCCGGGATATTTTAAATCGCCAGGTGTCATCACACCTTATCCCTACAACACACGCTCAGCTGACCAGTGTCCGCCAATTGGTTCAAATTTGACTTCGCTCCTGGTTCGAATCATGTATAAACTGCCCTAGGTTCTGACGCACTAGGAGAAATAAGACTCGGCTTTATCGAATTTTGAGAACAGAAGGCGAAGATAACGATTACAATACGTGGTAAACTCGCAGCAGATTTATTCTGGTGGAAAACAATTGCCTTGTGAATTAGTCAGCCCTGTGGCAGTATTGCGTGTTTTTATTAGTTTATGTAATGCCAGTTCATATGGCAACTTAAATATTTAGTGTAAACGCATTTTCTTTGGCTTGTTGCCACTAAGTCAAACCTCAATACGAAAAGTTTTATATTCATTTAAAAGAATTAGCACTTACATTTAAACTGAGAAAAATCTTGAATACTGTGTATCTATTAATTCTATACTATTGACTTTCTTCATTTTATATGTATTCAACAGGCCCGATTAACTCTTTTATAATCACAATGAATGTATCAGTAAACGTGAACCCGACCGTGTCTATGTGATCGTATTTTTACTAGTATTGTGAGTTCTTGAGTTAAGTAAAACAATGCATGGATAGCCACCACGACTGTTTATACACTATCTAGCTGGTGGATTTCAGGAATCAGGGAGGGTGGGCTTGTTTCACAGCTCAAGGTTCTAGTTTCCCAATGCACAGAATGCTGCCTTTACTATGCATAATACTATGTGCGACTGTTATTGACTTCCAGCGATTGTTTTTATGGAATTACGAACCACATTCAGAGAGTTACTTGTACCTGGCTAGATTCATATAAAGTGTATATATTTCCTTTCATTCCTTAAGTCATAAACACTTCCCGTTATTCCAGCTTTTGCTCGATTGTTTTTTTTTTTTTTTTGTAAACAAAATAACATCTTCATCGGACAAAACACTTAATTGGATTCACACTTCGACTTACCTTACATCAACTAGTTACGTGCCCAATTCTATTGTCAGGTATGGACAACGCCGCATGGTTGGTTGAACACTTCAGATCTCTTTATTTCGGGTTACAGAAATGCCGTCTCTAACGACGGAAAATTATCACGTTTATTCGTGACGTACGTGAAATTAACATAGGGTTGTGTTTTCTGTTGCTGTACACGGTTTGACGAAAATTCGTGTACTCGCTCACTCACTTAACTCGTATTGCTGCCACTTATAATAAGCCCACGATTGGCAGATGGCTGTAATTCAAATAAACGTCAGAGATAGTGAAAATATGATAAGTAACGTTGTTGTAAATCTGACAGATTTTGTTGCCTATCTTTTATGAGTAAAAAGACTATGGAATGTGTCAGGTAAAGTGTGCCGACAAATATAATTATGCATTTTTGCTAGTTTTTCCTCCGATTATGGTATCAAGGTTTAAAAAACACAACTCTTAAAATATGCAGTACTTATATTTTCCCAGCACCCTGTACAACTGCTGGAAAACGTTTATTCTCCCCACGTGTTCCTCTTGTTTATCTGATTACAGCTTATTGGATTGCTGACATTTGTAGCGTGGATATGTTTTAACACGCCGGTTTTATCTATCTTTTTCTGCGCTGAGTTAAGCGTTAAGATGAAATTTACTCGGTGCCTTGAGTCCCTTGACGCTAAAGGTCAATTATTTTAATAACTGCCTTTGCGTTAATTCCCTCAGTTCTGAGAGGTGAAATCGCAGGCAACTCCTTGCTGAAAATAATAATACCCAGAATTTCAAAGCACAAGACTTCTAACAAACTGTGAAGCTAGCAATACCTACTGTTTTTTTTCAGACGCAAATCTGAGTTACACTGTGGCACTATAACCCAGAAAATGTTCTTTTGTTCTACATTTCTCAGTCTAAGGATTTTACTCTTGCCACCATATTTTTATTAGGGAACGGCCGTAAGGTGACAGCTCACTAACAGATTGTCCTGTTTTGGTATGGTCAGGTCCAGCTTCAAGGTTTCTTATTTTCTCCCGTGATTTTTTTTTACGAATAGTATTTATGTTTATCTACAGGTCCACTTGGTATTAAATTAAAGCTTCTAATATCGAAATTTTATGGAGTTTTAAAGTACAAAAAGAATTTATAAAAAATACTCATAGTACCAAAAGGGAATCATTAATCATTCATCGTGTTTCTTTTGATGCATTTTTTCTTTGAATTCATTACAGTTCACGTGCTGTAATATATCTGGTTAACATCCAGCCATTGTGCCGTGTAAGCTCTGTACGGGGGATCTTGTAAAACCATACCACCGGAATCCCTCTTCCCTTTCCTCTGATACTTGCCACCTTTTTTGTCCAAATTTCGCAATTCTTTACCATTCACCTCACGACGCCATCGTGGATCAGAATACAACTGCATCGTAGAGCCGTATGCGTTGTTGCCAAGGGAGTCATACGTTGCTAGGCGTCCTGCACGTGGAAGGTCGCCATGGGAACTGTAATGTGCTCCCTTGCTCAGGCGATGGTGGTGTGGCGAATGCATGACAGCATATGCATCTTCCCCCACGTAGAGTGGGTTTTTCTTTGTGTAAATCCTGTGATCTCTTGGTTGTGTGCGTGAAAAGGGTGGGTTTTGGCTCCAAATTGCAGACGATGGCTGAATGAGCTCGCCCACCTGTGGATCGTCACGAACGAATCGCCGAGGAACGTCGTAAATGTAATCTTCCGGGACGTCGTTGAATTCTACGCCACTATCCGCGGATATGTTTCCTAGAGATTCGACTCTTCGCTTGTCTGAAAAATCAATTCGAATGTCAATGTTAAATTACTGGACCGAACAGATTGGAGATGTGAACACGATATTCCTTCAGATATGCACATCTCTCCGTAAGCCTCGCAAACTCAACATCTAGTATTAAATAATTGGGTATGCAGAAACATATTGGGCTTTAAGACAGAAAGATTTTTATTGACGTTTTCAACACCTCTCACTTATTCCAACCATCACATTAGTCAGCCTAAATACCCCAAAATGAATCACAGCATTCGTGTGAAAGCAGATTTAACGCATCAAAAGTTTTATGAACTATCATGTCTCTCTAAACGGCATATCTACTGTATCTAATCATTAGGCCAACCAGTCAACATATTTACCTTCCTTCTCTGACTCATGGCCACCAGAATACCTCTTAGGATAGAAAGGAAGGCCCAGCGCCCTGCTTGCTGCTGTTTTGATATGGACTTCTAATGGGAGAAAACAATAAACATGGGAATTTGTTATTAAATGTGAGTCGGTTGATTCTGCCTCTCTCGAGACTGGTAGAGTCATGGTTTGATTGCTTGCCATTTTGCCGGCATATCAAAAGATGGGCGTGCGTAAGTGTGATCGTGAGTGTGGATGTAATGTTATATCAGAGGTATATTACTTTTCTTTGGACTTTTTATTCGTTCGCGTAAGAAGGTTAGATGAAGAGGAGAGAACAGGTCTCATAATTCAGGATTTTAGTTATGACTCTGTTACAAAGATTTAGGCCTAAAGAAAGTTATATTGTAATACTGACATTAAAAATAGCTTTGGTCAACGCTATTTTCTATTTGCTGTTAAAAAATACCAAGTTTCAACAGACAATATCCCTACTAGTTAACCCCAACAGACTTATCTTTGCATCTCATTCTCGTCACAACAACAACAAAATGCAACGTTTATAAGTAGGGACAGTTAACAAAACCAATACGAGACAAACACGCGGAAAATAGTACAATCATCAAACCTCTACGTGGCCCAAACAGCATCATCTGTGCATCTCGTGGCTGTAGAAACCACACAAAATGTCTCTCTTCTGGTAAGATCTTGATCTCCTGGTCGTAGGTACAGTTAATGACCTGTGATGAAAAAAATTTCTGTGAATAGAGTGTGTGAAAAATTTATTGTTTACAAAGATTCATCAGTTTGCAGATAATAAAGATCAAAGCTATTTTTGATCAAACTAAGAAAAAACTTAACACTCGTTGAGACTGATGAAGATGGCTGATGACATTTAGAAATGTTTTGAGTGAGTGGTAAGATTTTTCTAAGTTTGTGACAAAAGAGTTTTAGATATCTAAAACGAAAATGTTATATGTGGGACATAAATTCACTACATATTGTGTTGTGTACTGGAATGGTTTTCGTATTTTGTTCTGTAATGTTGTATTGTGTTAGTTGTGCCATACTTGAGTGTGTTTTATTCTGATAGTGTATTGTGATAGTGGTCCTACACTTGAAGTGTTTGAACCCGTTAATGAACCTGTTTTAAGGTGTGGTTTTACACTATGCAGAGGACTGCTGCACTGTCTAGTTATACAATGCTGTCTTTTGCCTGGCTTGATAAAACCTTCGTATTCTGCCATGAGGGGTTAAAATGAAAATGCTTGTCGAGCTGTAACGATTGTGTCTGATACTATACATCGAATTATTTTAAAATCTGCGTGCTGGAACAATACTTGCTTGATAAATGTTTGTTTTATTATCAGACATATGTTTTTACATACCCTGCATAGTTTAGACGCTTTAGCAAATACTTTTTCGGCTTTCTTTAAGACATCCTGAAATGTAAAATAAAAATAAAGTAATTTGTTAACCACTTACTTGCCAAAATTTGAGCAGCTTATTTTTCATTTACGGTGTGTGTGTGTGTGTGTGTGTGTGTGTGTGAGAGAGAGAGAGAGAGAGAGAGAGAGAGAGAGAGAGACGGGCACCGTTAATGGTTACCTTCAGCTCCTCCTTGGTGACGCACATATTTCGTGTAATGCCATCAGACTTAACCTCCATCCCCGTCATTTTGTATTCAATATCGAAAAGGCTCTGCATACTATAAGTGTGCAGTCTGTGCTTGCAGGTCCCCGTCTTCACATCCAGATGGTACTGCGATATAACATCATGACAATAAGTATAGGACAAAACACTGAATTATATTCCAATATGAACCCCGCCACCTTTTCAAAACCTATTGTCGAATATGCTGCCAATGTCGTCTCTACACTGAATATATGTTTTTGCTACCCGCTTATAACGAATTTATTTGATCCAATTTTCATTATTTCACGCGGTATTTGACCTTGACCTATACAATATGGCCTTGACCTTGAACTCACCAGTGGTAGGAGTTTCCATCCATGTCTGGCCACTTGGTTCACGGCCTCCAGCACGAACTTCACTGTGTAGTCTTCGAAAAAATAGGGTAGGTTTAGTCTGGCAAATCCAGGCCTGCAAAAGTAGCAAATCAAAATGATTCCTTATATTTCGCTGGATCAGTAAAATACTTACAGCTTACTGATGTGTTGTAAGGAAAGTTCGAGATTTAATATAATATTAAATAATTCTTGTGGATCATTATAAGCAAGAAGTTAACTTCAATACATTTTAAATATAAAAATAAGTCACAACTAATAGAAGTTTTCAGTTCTTACTTCATTATTTCTTGGGGTTCTGTTATTTCGCCATTTTTGCTGGAAAAGAGGAGAAAAATTGATAATCAAACTACCTGCATCATAACTGTATACGAATGAACGCATCTAAGCACAAAGAAAAGTAAACGTTATCATTTATAAAGCTATTTCATTACGTAAAGCGAAAACAGAAAAATATACTAACCCTCTCTCCGCAAAAAATACAGCAAACCGTTGTGCCATTTCTTCATCCATTTCTAGAAGATCCTTTGAAAAAGGTTACTATAAGGTTAGTATGTATGAAGTCTATACAATGGTTCATTTAGTATCTATCGAGGCAAAGAAAACAAGCAAATTGAAACACCGAGTGAAGTTGGCAGGCTTGATGCGCCTAGGTAAAGCTATACACTGTTATGTCCGATGGTTAGGATGTCGAATAATATCTTGTCATTATCTCATGCTATTTGTCTTGACGCGTTGACGTTTTCTCTTTAAACTTTCTTTGTCACATATCTAGTACATTATCTAAGTACTACGCGAACTCCGACACACATTTCCTATGTTCAACTTTTAGAGACTGTTCCTGATATTGAAAAAAAAAATCGGCGCATCGGGCTAACATTGACACAAAAAGGAACACAATGAATCCAAGACAACATCTATACAAAATTAAACTAAAAATGCATTTTTTCATAAGCTCTACGCTAGTATACCTGCGCATAGGGTCCAGCGCATGCGCATCCTCCTCTAGTCTGTATCCCATACAAGTCATTCAGAAGCATGGAGACAAAGTTGTGATGAAGAAACTTTCCGCTCTCTGGATTCAAAACCAGGAATGAGAGGATTGGAACGCGCGGTACGCTCTTGTTTCCAAGGAGCAAAATGTTCGGGTTTCTGCTCCATACTCTGTACGCCATTTGACACAGTTCAGCCTCTTTTCGTTCAATGAAGTCAGCGCCGATAGCCTGAAGACATGCAGCAGATAAGTTTCAAATTGGATAATTAATGTACACTTTTAAAAAGTCTTACTGGCGGCTTGATTTATGTGGATGTGCATGTGCAAAGTTATCAGAATATTTATCCAAGGCATATAAAGGTGGAGGATAGCTGAATTAGTTCACTTACATTTTTCAGCTGAAAGACCATCCCACATCTGATGGATTCCACGATGGCGGGCGTCCCACCTTCTTCCCTTTCCTCGATGTCGTTGAGATATGTGTGCGTCTCTCGTGTCACGTATGACACCGTGCCCCCGCCACAGTTGTGAGGAACAGAATTTGTAAACAGCCATTTCTTGGCGATCAGCAGACCTGTAACAAAAATATTGTGACTTTCTTTCAAATTTTGAAAATTGTATTGCAGAATTACGCATTTTATTTACCGATATATATATGCTTTTTGGTAGAGCTTAGTGTACATACATCGAATCGAGAGGTTTAATTTCAATGTTACTTTTTATGTCGACCTTCCTATGAAATTAAAAAAAAAAAAAATACCAGGAAAACCTGCTACTTCAATTAGGTTTCAAACTAACATGGTGATAAGCGAGTTTAATCGAAGTTTGATAAAACAAACAGTTCTAGGTGCAACACCATTACCTTATCTTAAATTGGACCCGTGAATCATTAAAGAAAATCAACACAGTATAAATAAAACACACGTTGTTCATACCTGGGGTCCCAACACCACCTATGAATTTGTGTGGGGAGCAAAACACGGCGTCCTTGTAACTGCAAAATAAAAAAATGTAATTATTTAAACCACGGTGTAAGTTAAACTACAGCTAAGAGGTACAGGACCATACTAAGAAGTATTTCGCAACAATTATTTCCCTTATATTTTAAGGGCATATGTGGGATATCCATATGTAACGCTCTATAATATATACATTTCATTTATTCATTTTTCCTATATAAAGGTTAATAATAGTATGAATGTAACCATTAATAATACAAACTCTGCAATGAATAAATTGGTCTTACCCAGTTGAGGTGGGGTTCATGTCTATCTTCAGGTATGGAGCTAAAATAGGAGAGATACAAGAATAAACTTTCCTTTTTTCATTTCCCTATATTCTTTCCTTTCTTTTCTTTCTTTTTTAACATTTCGTCTAGAAGGGTGAACAAACGAATGCAGACAGAGAGAGGAGAAAACGTACCTCCTGCGGCGTAATCCCAGAACGACAAGGCGCCGTACTCATGCAATATCTCTGCCACGGCCACAGTGTCGGTCAAAATTCCGGTCACATTACTAGATGCAGAGAACGCCCCAATCATTGTGTATTGCTTGGCTTTGTATTCCTGGAATACCATATGAAAAAAATTATTATAGTTTAAAAAGACAGGGAAAGAAAATGCTTTCCTATAGTACATTAAAAAACAAAAATAAAGGTAATAATAATAATGAATGATATTGGGAGATTAAAACTATAAAAAGTAAAATAATGATATAAAATAATGTATGAATTATTGGTATGCACTTTTATCATTCAATTCTTATACGCGATTGTTCCTATATCCTGCAAATTGTAGCTGTAAACTTCATTTTATAATAAAATCTTGAAAGAAATTGTTTCTACGCTCAACGAGTTTCTAATCGGTAAATATCGGCTTCACAGTCCACACACCTTCAGTAACTTTGTCAGGTAATCCACATCAAACAGGCCGTCCTTGTCTTCCCTTATTCTTTCTACCTTCAACCCGTTCTCCTTCCAAGGTAATATGTTGGAATGATGCTCGTACGGGCCAACGAATACTACCTAAAAAGGAAATAAAAACCGGCATTACTTGCGTATTACGATGTTCGGAATATATCCTTCATGCTGACAAAACTGTACAATTAGACCAATGGTTCTTTACCCAAGTGATACACCCCCTATTTCAGAAATTAATGCTTAATGGCCTAAACGCGAACGGGAGGGGAACACAGATAATGGCGGTGAGTTCTCAGTCATTTCTGAAACTCCAGGTGAGGTGATCGCATTCATTCAAATAATAACATATACAAGTTTTAAGGATAAGATAAACTGATCTAATTAGAATATTTAAAAAAAAACACGCATGTATGATGTGTAATATACATTAAGCCAAGTGGGAAAACGCCAACAGAGAAAAAAATATATTATCAGAAATGTCATACCGTATTCGTCTCATCGAAGAGGTCGGTTTGTAGTCCTAACACATTGAGAAGTTTATGTACTGCGCCCGTCGTGCCGCTTCCAACAAATATCACCACGTCATCCTCGGAGGCGTTGACACATTTCTTTATGATGTCCCTTCAGAGAAAAATATGCAAAATAACCTTAAACTATTCGAAGTTCGTATTAATTCAGGGTAGCGACATCGGTAGCTAGACGCAGGGCAGCTAGATTCGATATATGAAATATCAGGTACGTCTTAGTACAAATGAAACGTGAGACTTAGCGTATAGAAAACAGACAAAATAAACCATATCTTCTATATGAATGCTTTGAAAAAAGTGTTTTCTGTGTTTATCACGCGTGTATGTATGTATGCGTGTGAGAGTGTCTTTTTATGCACGAACGTGTGTGTCTGCGCGTGCTTACGCACTTCATTGTGTTTCCGTGCAAGAATATTAATTCATACACGAGCGCGACCGACGCATCAACTTACCGTGCGCTATTTCTAAACTTGGTAGTTTGCAAGGAGACGATAGAGGTAGTGGTGTGTGTGTTTCCGTAGGTCGGATAGACATAGTCTGTGATGTAATCTTCGATAAACTGTAGCGGCCTGTAGAAAATAGCGATTATTACCCTGATTACTCTGAACATGAGTTAAATTTTGTGCGCATTTCTGAAAGTGAGATCTATAAGAAGACAAAAGAAATAATATTGGGTTACTTGTGACTCCTCAAACAATAATAATAAGAATAATACAGTATGTTAGAATTGATCATAATATTGTGTAAAATGGTAAACATTGCTACACAAATGCTTTACGACAGCTTATTCCGTATCCTAAAGAACAGGTTTTTAAAAAAATTAAACATATGCTGTATAATATTGAGTTAAAATATGCAAGTAGTCTACTGGTACCAGTGCCTTTATGCCGTTGAACCCAAAAATCCAACTGATAATATATCCGTAGAAGAGAGTATCATACCTTACACATCAAAACATACCCTTACCGCCATGATATACGGCGAAAAAAGGTAAAAAATAAATAAACAATACATGCATTTCTTATGCCGTGCGTAAAGACAGTTTACCCATCCCGTAATCATATTGAGAAAGATTACCCCATACTCACCGACCCGACGCTGTATAATCACAGTAGGTGACTAAAAGCAGAGGAAATATAAATCAGTGGGTGCCAGACGTATTTGTCATTTTCTTTTCATTTATTTATATCTTTGTGAAGTAATATCACTGTAATATGGAAAATTGGTAGATCAAAGTGTTTTAAGGAAGGACACATCCGACGTAGAAATAGCTGTCAAGGCCTACAACATTCACTTATACAGTATATTGAAGTTTTCGGGCTTCATTAAAGATGTGTGATTTTCGCTATCACTTCCTTTAGAAAATTTCATTATTTTTTCTTTACTCCTGAAAAACGAAAATTGTACAGAAATTACAGATGCCTCTGTCACAAGTTTAGGTTGGGTAGAATGTACAGGTATTCCGATAGTGTTAACTGCCGGTTTATGAAAAGGAAGACCATAAGGCAATTCTCTTTGTGACGTCATTGATAGAAATCACGTGAAGCCGAGTAATTATGAGTCTGACGTAAGTATTCAACGGGAGCTGCTTTGGAGATACTTTTGGTGATATTTCCCGTAATATTTTATCCTTTCATCTTCAACGCGTCGGACGGAAATTATCTACATACTAAATTTGGTCCCACTCCCATTTCGCTCCGTTTGTGAACACCAAAAGCGCGGGTTCTCAGTTTTAATAAAATTTTAACTTAAAATGAATAACTGAAAAACCACGCATTTATCATTGTGAATGGTATTTGAACAACATATTCCAAAATCTTGATGCAGGTCTCGCACAGCTTGTCGTGAAAGCATTTGACATCGATAATCGAATTTTCGAGTGTCCAGAAAATTATATCAATGAATCTCATAAATGATGCGGACGAAAATGGAAGAACTTGTGTGTGTGGCTTTTCCTATATAAGCAGAGAGTGCCAATCACTATTATATGAAGGGGGATATATCAATCCATTATGCTTACCTGGTCGAGATCCAAATGGACCGTCAAAAGCTACCTCGCTGCCGATGACGTTTTCCCGTACGTAATTCAATAGAGCCTCTCCTTTCTTGTCAGAATGGCCAGCCTGGAATAATTGTTAAGATTTAAATGTATAAATATATAAATAAACAAAAGAACATACATTGTGATAATTATAGCTGTATGTTTTGATACATATACACAGTATTTTAATATCAACTGATACAGCTAAGATACGAATGTTCAAATACTTGTTATAAAATAGATTTTTCTTTGAAATTATATTGGCTACCTGCTCCTGTGCTAGCTTTCAATCATTTATTATATTGGCATGATTTACATATGTTTACAAATATATACATATGAAAGGGAAAAAATTAAAAATTGTTATTGTGCAAATTTTCAATACAATTAATTTACATCACTACCAGTCTTATAACATGACTTGGTTATTTTAATTATTTAAAATTCTCATCAGTTAATAAGAGTATAACAATGGTAAACTTGCCTTTCCGGGCATCGTACTCAGGCCGACCTGCCCCATACTGACGTCCAATTTTCCTGGCTAACCCTTTTTCCTCTAAAGTCACAGAATGTGTATTTCCAATAGGACTCTCTACGGGATGAAGCTATATGCCAATTTGAGGCTTTCTGGCAAAAAATGTTCCCCGAAATTTGGTTCCACAAATAATATACGTTCCCGGACACATATAAGTGCCAAATTTGACGGAAACACCGTACTTCTGCAAGAGCAATCGTTGCATATTCAACCAGGCGATAGTGAAGGGACGCGTGACGCAAGGACTAGCGGAGGAGGGGGTCTTAATTGCCCCAGACTTCCTCTTCAAGTTCCACATTTAACCTTATCTTTAATAAAATCGGGTGCAACGAATCTTGCAGAGATCCAAGGTGTTTTCGGACATCATTATAAATTGGGCTATTATCTCGATTTCTGTCTACGAAACCGTGTAGTGATGATTTAATTACAGGGCCAAGCTCAGGTGAAATGCCACCCCGTCAGTTTAAAGGGAAAAAATTTCCGACATGATGTTTGTCTTTATGGTGCTCACTGAAATGTTGTGCTCATTGCACATAAATGATATTTGTATTAAAATATTCAAAAGTAACTGAAAATGACAGTGTCATGTTGATTATGTATATGTATTATGGTTGAGACTGGGAGTGATCATTTGAGCTTAACTTATGTAATAATTCACATTTCGACGGTAAAGGAAAGCGCAAAGTTAACAGATAAAACCCCCAAGAAAGAGAAAAAAGTCATTGCTCGTCATTTTTGTCAACAAAGAGGACAGTTTACACTTGTAAATGGTTACAATCATTGACTTGTCACCTTGGGTAGTGTATCATCATGTTAGATACAGGTGCCAGTGTCACGCGTCATGGATTTACGGCTGCCAGTCCATGCACAAACCAAGTGTTTCATTCCTTGAAACTCACACCTGACGAACGGTAGGCCAGGCCACCCTCTTGTGGGTCAAATGTTTTCGGACATCATTATAACCGAGGCTATTATCTCGATTTCTGTGTACGAAACCGTGTAGTGATGATTTAATCACAAGGCCAAGCTCAGGTGAAATGCCACCCCATCAGTTTAAAGGGAAATTGTCCTGAAAAGATTTCCGACATGATGTTTGTCCTTATGATGCTCACTGAAATGTTGTACTTACATGTATTGCACATACTGTAAGTGGTGTGCCCAAGTTTAGTTTTGCATGAAAATATTCAAAACTAACTGAAAATGACAGAGTCATGTTTATTAAAGATATGAATTATGGCTGAGACTCGGAATGATCACTTGAGCTTAATTTCAGTAATTATTAACATTTTTGGTAAAAAATTAACAGAAGAAAACCAACAGAATAAGAAAAAAGTCACTGCTCGTCACATTTGTCAACAAACAGGACAGTTTACATGTGTAAATGGTTACGATCATTGACTTGTCACCTTAGGTAGTATATCATCATGTTAGATACAGGTGCCAGTGTCACGCATCATGGGTCTACGGCTGCCAGTCCATGCACAAACCAAGTGTACCATTCCTTGAAACTCACACCTGACCAAAGGTACATGTAGGCCAGGCCACCCTCTTGTGGGTCAAATTGCCTAGGCGCGGAGAGGAGGGAGGTTGGGGGTCCAAAGAACCACCATTATTTGAATCAAAATATGACCCAGGTTCTAGACATGCCAAAGTTTTCTAATTGGGCCACTTAAGAGGGGGAGGTCCACTTTTTCAGAAAAAGAGCCCCTTCGAAATTGCTGGCTACTGACGTAAATCAAATGATATGCTTTTTCCCCATCAGGGAAAAACAAACTTTTGTGATGTGTGCATGTGCATGATCATGTCTGAAGATACCAAGGGTGATTAGATTTGTGCAGTATAGTTCGATTTTGAAGATAAAAATTGTGAAAATCAATATGAGATGACAAAAGAGAAATCACTCATACAATGTATGTGGAAAATAACGACAATAAGTAATAAAAAATAAAATGTTTTATTTACAACAGAAATTATATAAATATTAAAATAAACCCACACCAAAGCACAATCTAATTAAAAATATTAAATATGTACGCATAGTTTTCCCACTTATTCCAGCTGCTGAATGTAAAAAAAATCGTAAAACATTCTGAGCACTCGACCTGCGAAAGGCCCAGACCAACATGGCGGGAAGCTATCCAAAGTCTAAAAATCTGATTAAAATATATAAGATGAATGCAAAGTATCACCCAAATTATTATAAACTATATGAAATGCCTTTGAGGTAAATAATTATCATGGAATATTTTCATATCACAGATGTTCGGGTTCACAATGGCGCAGTGCTGGACGCACACATGGTTAAAAATGCATCATACTTATAAAAGAAATTTTCAACGATTTCAAATCGAGGACTTTATGGTTCATTGTAATATACACACATTCCTTGACACCCTCACCAGAAATTTAATCTTGGTAATAAATTATAAATGTTCTACATTAAAAAATAAAATACAAGGATACCTGAATCAAATGTTTTGGAAGAATATATTTCCACTTTGAAGTTCATCAATAATTTGATTTATTGCTTTTGGTTCAAGACGAGCCATTGTGTTCTGTAAGCCTCGTACGCCAGGTCCCGGGTTGTCATGGGCATCGGTCGTTTTTTATCCTTTTTAACTTTATCCACTTTTTCTTTTGACCCCTTCAATGCTGGTAATTTCACAGCCTTTCCATTACTTGATGGGTGTTTTGTGGCGCCACCTAGCATATGTACACTCTCATTGGAATGATACATCCCAGGATGCCCTGTGCGTGAGAGGTCGCCATAGGAACCGTGAAACTTTGCTCTGTTCAGAAGATGCCGAGAAAGATATCCAGCCCCAGAACTCTCAGCGGTATAAGTTGGAAGTTTCCTGGCGTAGTGGACCCGATTTTGTGGTGGTAAGTTGCTCATTGGTGGTAAAAGACGTTTCGCCTTTTTGTCTGTAACTGGTTTACCACTGCGAGACAAACTTCCGTATTTTAGCGGAGAACCTATGACGTCATCATCGGTGAAATCATTAGATTCAACTCCACTGTCGGTGCCAGAGGCTTCGTCAAGTGATTCAACACTGCCAGCTGAAATGAAAAGCACAAAATGTTAAGTTTTTCATGTTATGCATGTTATATATCATGACGTGTTCATTTTTGTATCTTAATTCATTGTATGTCTGTATGCTTAGTTGGAAGGGAGGACATTTTAATGCCTTAATTTAATAAAACTAAGTTTACAAACAATTTTTTCATTTACTAATTTGTCCTGATTTGACACTACATTTGAAAAAAGTTAATCAATTCCTTTTTCTATGATTGTGTTAGAGGATTTCTTGAAAGGTACTGTGTATCTTCCTTTAGTATCGAGTTCTACAGGAGGGGTGAACCATGGGGATACGAGAGTGCGCTTTAGAAATCATACGTTCACTTTTTCTTGAATAAAGCACTTAATTTCAACAAGTGGAATTTCAGTCTGATATATTGTGACCGTGAACATTTCGTGCCGCGAGTGAGGACTGTGAACAGCGAAGAGCCAATTCCAGTTCCAACAACTTTCCAGTAAACCTTGGAGTTTCTCGAAAAATGTTCCTTTCCCTCCCCGGGTTGATTATACAAATATCCAGACTTAGACCGCATTCACATCGAGTTGAGCCATGGATCTACAAAGTCACGAACTAAATATGGCGGACGTACATGAAAGAAAAACCGCCTAATCATTTAATAGTCTGTCCGCCTCTCACACGTCTCCCCACGCGTCGTCCCTGTGGGGGTACAGTCATTAAATCTCGGGTCCATTGGGACAACACATCTAATTTGCTGTACAAGTAAAGAGGCCAAAGAAGAGACCTCTTCAACATGGTGTAGCTGACGTTACTAATTTCTCTTGCTTATACTAATCACTCTCGAAAGCTAAAACAGATTTAGTTAAGGACTACTGATAGGTGGTGACGATTACCAATTTGAACAGAGTGAAAGAAAGAACGATTTTCAAGGAGAAATCTTTTAGTTTTCACACACAGAAACGGTTAAAGCTTGTGGGGGGAGGGGTGTGTGTGTGCTGCTCATCAGAATTGTGATTTGCTGATTCAAGTGCGGGTACGTGAGCGTAGCCTGAAAGCTCAAGGTGGTAAAATATGGCGTTTTCCTAAGGCCTCGCGTTTACCTTCGGAGGCGCGTGCAGAGTGAGGGAAGGAAAGGAGGGGGGGGGGATAAAGTCCCTACTGACCTTTAAGAAGGACTTACTTCAGCCACAGATAGGGAAAGGGCTGTAACATTAAAAACCGCCAGTACAGCAGTGAGTGAAATAAAGTCACAAATGACTGTACCAACATCTTCTGCAAAATGTCATGTGTCTTGTGGTGTAAATGTGTGTCATTAAAACCACAACACGGCAAAACGATCGATTTAAAGAAATACATGCATTTGGAAAGAGAAAATGTTTGCACAAATGGTTGGTATTCTAGGTGACTCTCAAGTGAAAAGGCGAATTTACATCAAACATGAAGTTTCACATTTGTGTAGTCATACCTACCCTATTCTAGAAAGGGTAATTTCGCTAATGAAACGGAAAAAATGGCGACCAAATTAAGAGAGTAACACAAGGCGAAGGAGGCTGACTTATCATAGAAAGTTTAGATAAGAAAACCAACTGGGAAAGATGGTTTAAATTTTCCGGTAAGAGCTGTGCAAAGGTTGCACAAAATTAAATGTTTATACATTTGAGGTAAACTTGAGTCTATGGAAGTGCCCCCCCCCCCCCATACATGTGTCAATTCACGTGTATTCAATAACAGTTTTGACTTTGGAGATATTTCACTAAAGTTAACTAGATTTGATAGAAACCTTAAACCTGTTGGGAAGCTTTTTTTGTAAGAGTTTTTCTGTTTCCCTTTACGTTTAGTATAAAAGATATTATAGTGTCTTTATTGTATCTGACTAATAAGACTGATTTATATATTTTCTGGACTTAAGTCTTTAACAACAAATATACCAATGTTTGACGTTTTGTGATCGTGAATAATTGTGACTAATGTAAGCCCCTTTCCCGGTAACATCGACTCCTGCATAAACGGAAGCCTGAATAATTCTTAAATAGAATTGTCTATTTTTTTGCAAATTTATCTCCAAAGAATACGTTATTTATACTTCTGTAAAGGTATTGATAAAAAAACATATCTCCTTTTCGCATTTTTATTCTACGCCGTTCTTGTTCCTGTAAGTAAGGTTATTACGCTTGTGTACTTACAGTCTATATCCAGCAAGTTGTCCATGGAGTAGCTCTTAGGAAAGAACGGGAGGTTCTCCGCCATAGCATCAACTGTTTTAACGTGGAGATCTGAAAAACATATTAAGCGTCTGCAAAAACCATCGATATCGTTCACTAAAATGAAATACGGTATACATTTTAAGCACTATTTTGCCTCATTTGTGTAACGAAAAAGATTTTTATAAAAATCCATGTTTCTTACTGATGAATATATTTCAAACGAAATAAAATTGTTGTAGGCCTACACAATGTTAATGTATTTTTGCCATAGTGAGGTGCGGTACTCGAAACCCACCTTTGTCCATCTTCATAAGCAATTTCTTGGCTAGTTTCGGTTCCAGAAACCAGACCAGGTGTTTCTCACCAGCACCAAGCTGAACGTCAGGATCGGTTTCGCATCTGATTACCTACAATTAAGATATTATAAACAAATATAAGCTCCCTATGTTAAAATACAAAACAATATATATGTGATGGAAAAGAAAAATCAAACGGGAAAATTGAGGATCTTCATATATGCAAGTTCCTTACACTCGTATTTAAAATTTTGTATTTTTTCTAATCAATATTAAAACCGATACGATGTTAGAAAACAGTAGTACTCACGCCGCATAAACGGGTTGCATTGGAATACAGCTTGTCCGCTTTCTTTAAGATTTCCTAGTAACGAAATATATAACTAAAAATTACCAAACAAACAATAAAAAACACTACAAACATATTATAAAGTAAAAACAGCGCAGTGGAATTTTATTAAATTAATTTATATTTCTGAGACATATATTGCTACCGTTACATTGTTTTATGTTTGAAATTGATAATATTTTGTATTTATCATAGTCCAGTAATTCAGAATTCCTAAATAAGAAAACTTTTATATGGGAGGGGAGAAAGGGAGCAAAATATTCAAGAGCGTCAGTATTAATATATGAAAATGGATTTTAGCTATATGTGTATCTCCTTCAGACAAAAAAGATAAAAATAACACAAACCTTATAATGTTCTTTCGTTGCTCTCATTGGCGAGCCGCGTGAGGAATTCGGCGTCTTGTGGACCTTTAAACCCGCCATGACGTACTCAATGTCGTACAGGCTCTGCATGTTGTACTGGTGCAGCCGGTGTTTCCACGTGCCGGTTTTCGAATCGAACTGGTACTAAATATTACAAGTAATCTGTATGTAACATTCAGTTATGACACAAGGAGTTCTAAGGTTGTAATTATACAAATAATAATATTTTCAATGGTGTCATGCGCGCTTCCGATTCTGTATCATTAACATGCCAATTAGTTAATTGGGTTGGTTTTTAAATGTATTGCCAAGTACAAATCCTTTCTGAAACTGCACAGCAAATTGTGTGCGTGTAAAATTAAAGTGAATATAAATTTACTAAAAAAATTTGATTTTAGGATATCGGGTGAATGTTTGACCTCAATCTGAGCCGACGTTGAACTTACCAATGGCATAATTCTCCATCCTTTGGAAGCCACTTGATTCACGGCCTCCAAAACGAAATCGATCGTGTCATCATCGTAGAAATATGGAAGATTTAACCTGGCGAAGCCCGGCCTGCAAGTAAACCAAATAAAGAAATGCTAAATGGTNCCATGTTTCTTACTGATGAATATATTTCAAACGAAATAAAATTGTTGTAGGCCTACACAATGTTAATGTATTTTTGCCATAGTGAGGTGCGGTACTCGAAACCCACCTTTGTCCATCTTCATAAGCAATTTCTTGGCTAGTTTCGGTTCCAGAAACCAGACCAGGTGTTTCTCACCAGCACCAAGCTGAACGTCAGGATCGGTTTCGCATCTGATTACCTACAATTAAGATATTATAAACAAATATAAGCTCCCTATGTTAAAATACAAAACAATATATATGTGATGGAAAAGAAAAATCAAACGGGAAAATTGAGGATCTTCATATATGCAAGTTCCTTACACTCGTATTTAAAATTTTGTATTTTTTCTAATCAATATTAAAACCGATACGATGTTAGAAAACAGTAGTACTCACGCCGCATAAACGGGTTGCATTGGAATACAGCTTGTCCGCTTTCTTTAAGATTTCCTAGTAACGAAATATATAACTAAAAATTACCAAACAAACAATAAAAAACACTACAAACATATTATAAAGTAAAAACAGCGCAGTGGAATTTTATTAAATTAATTTATATTTCTGAGACATATATTGCTACCGTTACATTGTTTTATGTTTGAAATTGATAATATTTTGTATTTATCATAGTCCAGTAATTCAGAATTCCTAAATAAGAAAACTTTTATATGGGAGGGGAGAAAGGGAGCAAAATATTCAAGAGCGTCAGTATTAATATATGAAAATGGATTTTAGCTATATGTGTATCTCCTTCAGACAAAAAAGATAAAAATAACACAAACCTTATAATGTTCTTTCGTTGCTCTCATTGGCGAGCCGCGTGAGGAATTCGGCGTCTTGTGGACCTTTAAACCCGCCATGACGTACTCAATGTCGTACAGGCTCTGCATGTTGTACTGGTGCAGCCGGTGTTTCCACGTGCCGGTTTTCGAATCGAACTGGTACTAAATATTACAAGTAATCTGTATGTAACATTCAGTTATGACACAAGGAGTTCTAAGGTTGTAATTATACAAATAATAATATTTTCAATGGTGTCATGCGCGCTTCCGATTCTGTATCATTAACATGCCAATTAGTTAATTGGGTTGGTTTTTAAATGTATTGCCAAGTACAAATCCTTTCTGAAACTGCACAGCAAATTGTGTGCGTGTAAAATTAAAGTGAATATAAATTTACTAAAAAAATTTGATTTTAGGATATCGGGTGAATGTTTGACCTCAATCTGAGCCGACGTTGAACTTACCAATGGCATAATTCTCCATCCTTTGGAAGCCACTTGATTCACGGCCTCCAAAACGAAATCGATCGTGTCATCATCGTAGAAATATGGAAGATTTAACCTGGCGAAGCCCGGCCTGCAAGTAAACCAAATAAAGAAATGCTAAATGGTTACAGCAAGGCAACTATTTTGGACATGATTTCCGTTTCTTTTATGTGCAATTTTAAACGTCATTAAAAAGACTGGAAAATATCAGCTTTATGTTCATTTTCCATTTTCACGTCACTGGAAAAGTATCGAAGCGTTTACTGTTACATACAAGGATGCAAATGTACAGGTAAACGCTGAGGTGAAGGTCAAAACGATATTGTGTTTGCTGAGACACTGATAATATTGTGTTCACCGAGACATTGAAGAGGAATAACTAATACAACGCTTACTTCATTACTTCTTGTGGTTCTTTCTTCTGTCCATCTGAGCTACAAAAAAGAGTGAATGTTTCAATTAGATTAATGAGAAAAAAAGGCGTAACTTCACGTGAATTTCATAGATTGTTTTTCCATTCGCGTTCATCATACAAAACAAATAATAAATATGAAATTACTTGATGATTAACTACTTCCACTCATATAAAACAAAGACAAATGTAATTGTTTTAAACGAACAATAAAATCCTTCTTTATAGTGCGAGCAGAAAAATTGTAAAACTGACTTTATCCCCACTTTTCATCTAATCGACTCATTATGCACAAACTAGATATTTAAACACTTGTGGGAACCGACAAAAACTACATCACGCTGACAGCCTCCTTTTGAGAAAAAGGACAATTCCATCTACTTACTCAGAATGTTCTAAAAACGTTATAAATCTCTGGGCCATTTCCTCGTCCATTTGTAAAAGATCCTAATAGAAAAAGAAATACAGGTCAGTAGCAAAAAACAATAATACCCAAGTAAAACGTAGACAAGAAAATTGTTAATTTGTATGGTCCGCTAATCTTAATATACGTAGGCCTATTAATATATGGTCGAAAGTGGATAAGTTACAGCGGTCAATAACGTCAAAGCTCCATCAAAAGTGCAATTACAAAATCATAATTAAATAAGCTTTTGATTCAAATTAATGTTCAAAATGTATTTGAAAAAACATTACTGTCGTGCTTATTTACTTACTTGAGCGTATGGTCCAGCGCATGCGCACCCCCCTCTTGTCTGAATCCCATACATGTCATTCAGAAGCATGGAGACGAAGTTGTGATGAAGAAACTTTCCGCTCTCTGGGTTTATAACCAGGAATGAGAGGATTGGAACGCGAAGAACATCTTTACTGCCCAGTAGCAAGATGTTTGAATTCTTTTCCCAAGCTTTGTAGGCTCTTTTACACAACTCAGCCTCTTTGTGCTCAATAAAATCAGTTCCGATAGCCTGTATGGTGTAAAAAAAATAACACAATGAAATATTTAAGTGAACAGATGCCACTAGCACATAAAAATTAGTCTGCAAGAATAATCATTAGAATTCATTTTAAAAATAATATTAACCTTTATATTGGTGGGAAATTTTAATGTCTTTGTTAAAATTACGTCTTTATATATAAAAAAAGAGGTAACAGGATAAACGAAGAAAGAAAAAAAAGAAGGAAGGAAGGAAGGAAGTAGAGTAACAAAAACAAAGACCGATTTTAAAAGTACACGATAAAATAAAATTTCCGGAAACTTCATAGTCACTTTTAAAAAGCTGACTTTTAGTCACTAGTACATTCAAGTTATCGAGCAGAATGACTCACCTCCTTAAGCTGAAATACCATCCCGCACCTGATCGACTCCACAATGGCGGGCGTTCCACCTTCCTCTCGTTCCTCGATGTCAGTCAAATACGTGTGCGTCTCTCGTGTCACGAACAGCACCGTGCCCCCGCCGCAGTTGTGGGGAATCTGGTTTCTGAACAGCCACTTTTTGGCTATCAGCAATCCTGCAACAAATATAGAATCCGATTTTAAAAATCTTTACTGTATAACTATATAAAACGCCCCTTACTTTTTTTTTAATCTTGGCTATTGTTATCTTATGCACAAAGTGGTTTGAGGAGACTGGGTTTGTTGATATTAAAATGACACCGTAATAGATAAAAAAAACTTTAAACGTTTGAAAAGAAAATAAATATGTAGATATCTAATGAGAGTGTACGTCAGATAAGAGATGACCATTTTTATGAGGGCAGATGACCCGGCATATCACACGATGTATCGAAAATAATTAGTGTAATATGATAAAGGACTGTTTTTTTTTTTTTTGCAAAATAATTCAAATGAAAAACGATAATGCCCAAGACGACGCTGAGTGACTGAAAGGAGAGAGAGAGAGAGAGAGAGAGAGAGAGAGAGAGAGAGAGAGTCGGGAGGGAGTGGGAAGGGAGAACATGGATTTTCCATTAAGCCCAAAACATCCATCTTCCGTCACTTATAACCTGTGTGTACCAAACCATTTTCTCGTTGCAACTACTAAATATCTTATATATCTAATATATGAAATTGCAACAACACAAATATGGAATATATATTTAAGAAATAGAGATCTACGGGTATTTTATAAAGCTCAATATTCTTCTTCTGGTTTTATACAATTAATACTTTACATATAATCCGAGAGAAAAATTAAAAAATTTAAAGTTTTTTCAGTAATGCAGAAGTGGAAAATTTGTTTTTAGTACAACTTACTATACAAAAATACAGTTATGCGAGATTCGATCGTGACAGCGGAACGAGAAGAGTGAAATACGAGTCATTCCGCAATATTAACTGGAAAACAACTTGACACGCCATCTACAAACGCAACATCAAAACGACATTAGCTCCATAAATTAAACGCATTGTGGTTACGAAATCCTGTTATGACCTGACATTATAGAGCGCGCAGCTTCAGGTCGACCATAACATTCCAAGGGCGTACAGTAAAATATGAAAAGAAAGCAGGTAGAACATAAAAAGCGTGGGGGAACATGACGCATGCGCACCTGTACATTTTCGACTTAGTGAATTCCTGCTGTCTCATTGAGGTAATACTAGTCTATCTGGATACTTCGGAATAGCATTGTCTGATGGAAAATTAAGCAGAACTTTTACAACACTTTATAGACCGACTTCTTGTAAAAAGACCAATATCCACCATGATAACCCTCAGTAAAATCGGCCACTATGCGCCTCTCTGCGCCCGACTTCTCCTCCTTTATACTGGGATGGCACCCTTACGTAAACATAAATTGCTCTGGCTAACTTTTAGAAGTAAACATAAATTGCAATCTTATAACGGCATTCATTTACTAAGTAAGGGGAGACGTAACATTTTTCCAGTTAATGACTTACGTTAGGGTGATTTAAAGAGTAGGAGAGTTGGAGAATGAATGAATGAATATTAGTGGGTCATTGTTTGACTATATCTACAAAATTCTAAAACAGGGATAATACACTACTAGATTAAAATACTCGTTAAACGTTTTAACGTTTTAAGAAACCAAAATACATTAAAGTCTTTTTAAGTCACTTATTTATTAATATTCATACTACTTTCACCGCTGCCGGTGGCAACGTCGTCTGATACGAGCATCTAATGAATGCAGTGCTCCTAATACCAATCAAGTCAGCAAAAGAAGTAACATATGCTTGTTATTCGAAGATTCCTTGATCCATTACGGATTGTTACTTGTATTTTGAAAAAATAGCAATCACCCCCCCCCCCCCCCCCCCCAAAAAAAAAAGATAATGAAAAAAGAATAGTCAACGAAAAAAGTGATAGGCCTTTTTTTAATCCAAGAAAACTAAGAAATCGTGTCAAAAAAAAAAAAAAAAACAGTTGTGCTTAAAGTTGGTATGCTATTTTGCTGCCTTGTTTGAACTATTTTAATAGGTTATCAAAAACAAGTTTACCATATTAACCGACGCAGTGACCTGTTTGCGTTTATTAACAACAGTAAACAACATCATAAAAGGCATCCATCTTGTGCCTTTTACTCAACAAGGAGGGGGAAGTGCTCTGTAGAACAAATTCAAATGAAAACTGATAGTAGAGTTGTTTCTGGGTAACAGATCGAAAATTAAACTTCCTTATTGATAACAACTCGACGTCTGATAAGGCTCTAATGTCACGGAATATTGGTTTCCCGAAATATTGTGACTGGGAGCTTCCCTTACGAGAAAAACTCTGCGGGAGTCTAAAGCTTGGAATAATACAACCCAAAGTTTACTTTGAAGTCATTATATATTAGATGTAGTCCAAGCAAAGAAATAATTAACTTCAATTGCATTCTCAGCCCAGATATGCTGGGGTGAAAGGGGGGGGGGGTAAAAAAACCCCTCCCTATTGGCCGAAAAGGGCCGCTCTTATTCAAAATTTGACCTATAGTTTATGCCAATTCTCAAGTCGGGTTAACTATAAGCATAAAGGTCCATATCTTCAGAAAAAGAACACCGCTATGATATTGCTGNGCTATTTATGTGGCATATCTAGCAGATATCTTACCGTATTTGTCTCGTCGAAGTCTTGTGAATGTAACCCCAAGACATTAAGAAGTTTATGTACTGCGCCCGTCGTCCCGCTTCCAACAAATATCACCACGTCATCCTCGGAGGCGTTGACACATTTCTTTATGATGTCCCTTCAAGCAAATACCCATAAGTATTAAGAATAATAGTAAGCAATGTTATAATATAATTTCTTGTTCGTGTAAAAGTTTAAATTGTACATTGATGTAGTTGAAATATTAACAATATTCAAATTTATTGTTTGATTATTTTTTCCAGCCAGTTTTCATGTCACTTGGCGTTATATCATTTCGTAGTAGCAAAATGGTAAAGGTGATTTAAACAGCGTTTTATGAGCGTGCGTTTGAATTCGTGAGTGCCTGTAATGTGAACTCACCTTGCGCTATTTCTAAACTTGGTAGTTTGCAAGGAGACGATAGAGGTGGTGGTGTGTGTGTTCCCGTAGGTCGGATAGACATAGTCTGTGATGTAATCTTCGATAAACCGCAGAGGTCTGGAAAAAAAAAACGTTCGAAAACACCGTTAGGTCGAAACATGGATTGACGAATTATTATGACCGAAATGACGACCTTGGCATTTTAGCAGTAATATTTTGACACTCGAAAATATATTAAGATCACGTTAAAGGGGTTAATACTTGAATATTCACTGTTTGTCCATAATAAACATTTAAGGTATTTAATCTATCGGTCTGTGAAGAAAGTGCTAGTAAGGCGCACAGATGTTGGATTGGGGGGGGGGGGGGGGGTACTTGATACAGGCACTCTGCCATTTCTTATGATGGGTCAACTTACGGGGTAAAAACGTTACTCCCCCACCCTCCTTGTAGATTGCTAACTACACGACTATAAAGATACAATGTACGCGGATGCCCTGGGATAAGCAGAGTCGATAATTCGTATCTTACCTCGTATTTCAAATTGAAGTGCCATAGTAATTGATCGGACTTTTAAATCAACATATCTCTGGGACATAACCGCTTTAAATTATTCACCTCACAAGTCCACCAAGCGTCGGTCTTCCAACTCACGGGGCTATTGTTAATTGAAGCCGTAAATTACTACATGACACTGAAAGGTGATGCGGCACTGTCGTATACAGCGTCGTCAGCTTAGTGCTCATTCCCGTGAAAATTATCGGTCTACGTAGATCGACCCAACTCCGCAGGAATTCTCGCTGAATGCAATCAGATTAACAGACTAACACGTCTCCTCCAAACGTTAAGTAGAATACAGAAAAGCTTGTGAGTATACGAGTACGTTCAGAAAAAGAGGAGGCGTGTCAATCCGTTAATTTGATTGCATTCAGCCAGTGTCCCCGCGGAGTTGAATCGTAGAATATAGTTTCATTTGAGATGAGCCCTACACTGGTTGAAGTGCGTTTATTGTGTCGGTGTTTGTAGTTGCTATGGATGAGGAGTAGTACTTACTTGCCAGAGGCTGTGTAGTCGCAGTACGTGACTGAAATAATAATAATAATAATAATAATAATAATAATAATAATTCGTACTTAATTACATAAGAAAGTAAACACCAAATAATGACAAAAACAAATTCTGATTTAATGTGCCTGGTAGTGAACAGTATTTGATATTGTTTGAAGTTTTCACTCTTCTTCTTGTATCTATTTTCTCACTTATCAATTTCTTTGCACGTGTCCGAACTGAATCGAAGTAGCCGCAACTTGTGAAAGCAAGAATATATCATGATCAGTTTCAGGCATATATAATAAAGACAGAGCGTGCCGTGAGTCAACTTAATAAACTGAATAAGTGATAGATGAAGTGACAATAATGACAATGGGGATGTGACTGACCGGATCTCACCTTGAACTACTTATTATAAGGACACATGAAGTGTATTATTTGCTGTGTACACTAGTCGCTAGTCAGAGTCAACATTCTGATAATCCGGGAACAGCAGAGAAAAGTCACGGCGATTGAGACGCCGTCTCGGCTTTGCCACACGTACAAATTGTAAAGTGCATAATGCCCAAGTTGTGCTCGGCCTACCCTTTTCAGCATAATGTTCCCCATAGGTAGTAAAGATAATTAGGTGCCCAAAATTGTTATTTAAAAGTATCGAAATCAAAACAAGGTACCTGGTCGGGTTCCAAAGGGCCCTTCAAAACTGACGTCGTTTCCAATCACATTTTCTTTGACGTAGTTGATGAGTGCTTCTCCTCTTCTGTCCTCAAGTCCATACTGAAGTAATAGAAAAAAATGTACATATAAAATAAATGAATAAATAAATATGATAAAAAAGCGCTACATTTGAAACATTTGTGAGGGGGCGTGGTGGGATAGGACGGGAATTCCTCAAGGGACACGTAGACCCAAATGAATTTATATTTTCAATCAGTCACTCGGCTAACCGGAAAGTTGTAGGTGACTGTTGAATTTCTTAGTTTTTCCCACGAACGGCGAAGCATCGCTTACAAGGTAGTGTTCGCCTCCGGTGCGGAGACGGGGGTATGATTCACTGGTCGGATCCAGTCCCAGCCCATCGTAAATATCGCACCTAATATCTCTGATCAGGTCAAAACAGGGTCAAATGGAATTTCGGTATCTAAGCATGAAAGCGTCTGTATGATAACAGGAAAGGTAGTCCTGGAAAGGGATGAATATAGCATCTGCCGACACTCATCTTCATGTTCTCAAAACCTCTGTGTTGTCATTGCTGTGATATACATTAAGAAAAGATAAGTCGAAGATAAGTGCGCCAGTCGTTTAAATTATGAGAGTTTTATGACACGGTAATGCTAATGTAGCCTCCTTGCACTTTCATTCGACCTTGATAGCACTGAAGGACAAGGGGTGCAAATAAGGGAAAGCCCACATCAACCATCTTAAAAAAAAATTTAAAAAAAAAGCCTTCGAATTTGTAAACACGTCGATTAACTTCTGTAATCTCGTGTAGACAGCCATTTAGTTAATCGTAGTATACTAATGAAAAAATAAATGATTATTAGGAAGAGATAAAAAGAAAAAAAAAACAAAAAATGGTATGATAATTTAATAAAATGCCCCATCGATAGCATCGTTCGCATTAAGTTTGGCATAATGAAAGACGTATAAATGCTTAACTCTCCGGACTGTTTGGTAATTTGCGCNTTTTTTTTAAAAAATGCCTTCGAATTTGTAAACACGTCGATTAACTTCTGTAATCTCGTGTAGACAGCCATTTAGTTAATCGTAGTATACTAATGAAAAAATAAATGATTATTAGGAAGAGATAAAAAGAAAAAAAAACAACAAAAAATGGTATGATAATTTAATAAAATGCCCCATCGATAGCATCGTTCGCATTAAGTTTGGCATAATGAAAGACGTATAAACGCTTAACTCTCCGGACTGTTTGGTAATTTGCGCATATTAACATCAAAATGTCATGGACCGTTTATTATGAAACAGTTAAATTCTCATTAAACTGAAATAGTCATTCCCATGCACATTATCGAGGGCATTATTTGTCACGGTGAAGGGTCCTTTTATGACAGTCTTACTCTTTTAGAAAGTCCATTAATTTTTTCCATTCTATATGGCAAAGGAAAGGGAAATAAATAACGCTAATGTATTTACCTATACAAATTTAAGCAAGATGTATCTAAAACATGACCATTAGTTTTAATTGATGACTTCAATATGATAAATGGAATGCACAAAAGACGACTTTTCGATATTACCGATGAAATTCCAATTTAACCCAACGACATAAATACGCAGAATGAACTGTGGGAAAAGGAAAATAACTTGACATGTGTCGACCTCTGCGCGAGGGCTTAATATTAAAATTTTAATATTAAAAATAATAGTAATAGTTAATGATAAAAATAATAAAACACATGCATATTAAAATATTTTACGTAGACTGATACTTCAACTTTTAAAATATTTTTCACAGGTGGACATTAGTTGCGGTACTTTATTATCCCGAGGCGTACATCGCGTAATGCTAATGGAATGCAAGTTTCTTTTGCAACCTGACAAGTGCATTAAATTACCAGCGCTGATACACGTAGTTTGCTGACAGTTTGATAGTTCACCCTGTATGTTTTCGGAACGACACTTACTCGTTTTTTCTGAAGATCACTTTCAACAAATAGCCCAAGGCGAAAGCTAATCTTAACTTTCAGACAAAAAGTCGGGTCTTCTTGCACCCCATTTCCATAGATTAGATCGACCTACTTTAGATCGACCTAACTCCCTGGGGGTTCACGCTAAATAGCTGTCAGCCGGGCGGACACGAAAGTTAATTACCCCCTTAAAGCTTGTATTAGGCGGGACGGGCATTTAAGTCGGAATANCGCTATTTATGTGGCATATCTAGCAGATATCTTACCGTATTTGTCTCGTCGAAGTCTTGTGAATGTAACCCCAAGACATTAAGAAGTTTATGTACTGCACCCGTCGTCCCGCTTCCAACAAATATCACCACGTCATCCTCGGAGGCGTTGACACATTTCTTTATGATGTCCCTTCAAGCAAATACACATAAGTATTAAGAATAATAGTAAGTAATGTTATAATATAATTTCTTGTTTATGTAAAAGTTTTAACTGTACATTGATGTAGTTGAAATATTAACATTGTTCTAGGATCCAAAATAATTTATTTTGGATCCTAGCATTGTTCAAATTTATTGTTTGATTATTTTTTTCGGCCAGTTTTCATGTCACTTGGCATTATATCATTTTGTAGTAGCAAAATGGTAAAGGTGATTTAAAAAGTGTTTTATGAGCGTGCGTTTGAATTCGTGAGTGCCTGTAATGTGAACTCACCTTGCGCTATTTCTAAACTTGGTAGTTTGCAAGGAGACGATAGAGGTAGTGGTGTGTGTGTTCCCGTAGGTCGGATAGACATAGTCTGTGATGTAATCTTCGATAAACCGCAGAGGTCTGAAAAAAAAACGTTCGAAAACACCGTTAGGTCGAAACATGGATTGACGAATTATTAAGACCAAAATGACGACTTCGGCATTTTAGCAGTAAAATTTTGACACTCAAAATTATGCTTTAATATTCGCTGTTTGTCCATAATAAACATTTAAGGTATTTAATCTATCAGTGTTTGAAGAAAGGGCTAATAAGGCGTGCAGATGTTGGATGGGGGGGGGGGGGGGGGGTCCATGATATGAGGGTACTTGATACAGGTACTATGCCATTTCTCATGATGGGTCAACATACGGGTTAAAAACGTCAGTTTTTCATCCCCTCCTTAGAGATTGCAAACTACACGACTATAAAGATACGATGTACACGGATGCCTGGGATAGGCAGAGTTGATAATTCGTATCTTACCTCGTAATTCAAATTGAAGTGCCATCGTAATTGATCGGACTTTTAAATCAACATATCTCTGGGACATCACCGCTTTAAATTATTCACCTTACAAGTCCACCAAGCGTCGGTCTTCCAACTAACGGGGCTATTGTTAATATTGAAGCCGTAAATTACTACATGACACTGAAAGGTGATGCGGCACTGTCGTATACAGCGTCGTCAGCTTAGTGCTCATTCCCGTGAAAATTATCGGTCTACGTAGATCGACCCAACTCCGCAGGAATTCTCGCTGAATGCAATCAGATTAACAGACTAACACGTCTCCTCCAAACGTTAAGTAGAATACAGAAAAGCTTGTGAGTATACGAGTACGTTCGGAAAAAGAGGAGGCGTGTCAATCCGTTAATTTGATTGCATTCAGCCAGTGTCCCCGCGGAGTTGAATCGTAGAATATAGTTTCATTTGAGATGAGCCCTACACTGGTTGAAGTGCGTTTATTGTGTCGGTGTTTGTAGTTGCTATGGATGAGGAGTAGTACTTACTTGCCAGAGGCTGTGTAGTCGCAGTACGTGACTGAAATAATAATAATAATAATAATAATAATAATAATAATAATAATAATTTGCACTTAATTACATAAGAAAGTAAACACCAAATAATGACAAAAAAACAAATTCTGATTTAATGTGCCTGGTAGTGAACAATATTTGATTTTGTTTGAAGTTTTCACTCTTCTTCTTGTATCTATTTTCTCACTTATCAATTTCTTTGCACGTGTACTGAACTGAATCGAAGTAGCCGCAACTTGTGAAAACAAGAATATATCATGATCAGTTTCAGGCATATATAATAAAGACAGAGCGTGCCATGAGTCAACTTAATAAACTGAATAAGTGATAGATGAAGTGACAATAATGACAATGGGGATGTGACTGACCGGATCTCACCTTGAACTACTTATTATAAGGACACAAGAAGTGTATTATTTGCTGTGTACACTAGTCGCTAGTCAGAGTCAACATTCTGATAATCCGGGAACAGCAGAGAAAAGTCACGGCGATTGAGACGCCGTCTCGGCTTTGCCACACGTACAAATTGTAAAGTGCATAATGCCCAAGTTGTGCTCGGCCTACCCTTTTCAGCATAATGTTCCCCATAGGTAGTAAAGATAATTAGGTGCCCAAAATTGTTATTTAAAAGTATCGAAATCAAAACAACGTACCTGGTCGGGTTCCAAAGGGCCCTTCAAAACTGACGTCGTTTCCAATCACATTTTCTTTGACGTAGTTGATGAGTGCTTCTCCTCTTCTGTCCTCAAGTCCATACTGAAGTAATAGAAAAAAATGTACATATAAAATAAATGAATAAATATGATAAAAAAGCGCTACATTTGAAACATTTGTGAGGGGGCGTGGTGGGATAGGACGGGAATTCCTCAAGGGACACGTAGACCCAAATGAATTTATATTTTCAATCAGTCACTCGGCTAACCGGAAAGTTGTAGGTGACTGTTGAATTTCTTAGTTTTTCCCACGAACGGCGAAGCATCGCTTACAAGGTAGTGTTCGCCTCCGGTGCGGAGACGGGGTTATGATTCACTGGTCGGATCCAGTCCCAGCCCATCGTAAATATCGCACCTAATATCTCTGATCAGGTCAAAACAGGGTCAAATGGAATTTCGGTATCTAAGCATGAAAGCGTCTGTATGATAACAGGAAAGGTAGTCCTGGAAAGGGATGAATATAGCATCTGCCGACACTCATCTTCATGTTCTCAAAACCTCTGTGTTGTCATTGCTGTGATATACATTAAGAAAAGATAAGTCGAAGATAAGTGCGCCAGTCGTTTAAATTATGAGAGTTTTATGACACGGTAATGCTAATGTAGCCTCCTTGCACTTTCATTCGACCTTGATAGCACTGAAGGACAAGGGGTGCAAATAAGGGAAAGCCCACATCAACCATCTTAAAAAAAAATTTAAAAAAAAAGCCTTCGAATTTGTAAACACGTCGATTAACTTCTGTAATCTCGTGTAGACAGCCATTTAGTTAATCGTAGTATACTAATGAAAAAATAAATGATTATTAGGAAGAGATAAAAAGAAAAAAAAAACAAAAAATGGTATGATAATTTAATAAAATGCCCCATCGATAGCATCGTTCGCATTAAGTTTGGCATAATGAAAGACGTATAAATGCTTAACTCTCCGGACTGTTTGGTAATTTGCGCATATTAACATCAAAATGTCATGGACCGTTTATTATGAAACAGTTATATTCTCATTAAACTGAAATAGTCATTCCCATGCACATTATCGAGGGCATTATTTGTCACGGTGAAGGGTCCTTTTATGACAGTCTTACTCTTTTAGAAAGTCCATTAATTTTTTCCATTCTATATGGCAAAGGAAAGGGAAATAAATAACGCTAATGTATTTACCTATACAAATTTAAGCAAGATGTATCTAAAACATGACCATTAGTTTTAATTGATGACTTCAATATGATAAATGGAATGCACAAAAGACGACTTTTCGATATTACCGATGAAATTCCAATTTAACCCAACGACATAAATACGCAGAATGAACTGTGGGAAAAGGAAAATAACTTGACATGTGTCGACCTCTGCGCGAGGGCTTAATATTAAAATTTTAATATTAAAAATAATAGTAATGGTTAATGATAAAAATAATAAAACACATGCATATTAAAATATTTTACGTAGACTGATACTTCAACTAATAAAATATTTTTCACAGGTAGACATTAGTTGCGGTACTTTATTATCCCGAGGCGTACATCGCGTAATGCTAATGGAATGCAAGTTTCTTTTGCAACCTGACAAGTGCATTAAATTACCAGCGCTGATACACGTAGTTTGCTGACAGTTTGATAGTTCACCCTGTATGTTTTCGGAACGACACTTACTCGTTTTTTCTGAAGATCACTTTCAACAAATAGCCCAAGGCGTAAGCTAATCTTAACTTTCAGACAAAAAGTCGGGTCTTCTTGCACCCCATTTCCATAGATTAGATCGACCTACTTTAGATCGACCTAACTCCCTGGGGGTTCACGCTAAATAGCTGTCAGCCGGGCGGACACGAAAGTTAATTACCCCCTTAAAGCTTGTATTAGGCGGGACGGGCATTTAAGTCGGATTATCTGAAAGTAGTCTAGTGAGACTCCCCGCGGGGATAGATCGATCTAAAATCTATGGGAATAGAGCCCAAGTGGACTCACTAATAGCAATAGTGTGCCACGTAAATGGTGATTTTAGGCCTGTGTTACCAAATGTTAGAAGTGACTACCGCTGTTACGTAGAATGAACGCCATTAGGTTCTGGTAGGCCTCTACATATTTATCCTGACTTGATAAGAACTAAAATATCGGTACTAAAAGTGAAGAAAAGCTGTCAACTCAAGCAACCTGAGTCATTTTTGAAACATGGCCCGTATCACGTTAAAACGCACCTACATATACTTTGTCGATTTAGGGCCTTTTTCCAAGCTTTGATGCTGGCCTATTGAAAAAAAGGCAGACGAGACGAAGAAAAGAAAACCCTTAAGGCAAATTAAGGGCAGGAATTTATATGGAAAAATTATCTGTAGTATGATGCAACATAGGTAAACGTATGGAAAATTTTAAATCATTTAAATCGTCAACGAGAAATTGTAGGTCAACGAATGACCCCTTCGCCTGCGGTCAAATCAGGCAAAAATGGAGAAGCTTACGATCTTCTACTTATACACCACAGAAGTTCCCGCAATTTTCACCGACTATCTCTCGTTTTCGGCCAAAATATCCCCAACTCTATGCAAAATATCTATATCAACAACGCATTATTGGCCGTTCACCAAGAAGACAGAACAATTTAAAGAAATCATTTGTTAGTCCTTACCTCTTTCATCTGGTGGAGAGCCACCTGTCCCATTGGTATTTTAAAACGATCTTTAAAAAATTAGAAAAATATTTTTCTGAACTCCTGTGAAATGCAAATAACTTAAAATTCTCTTAAATTGGTTTATCAAACTTGTCTTCGTGTCTTTTCTTTATGCGTCTATTGTCTCTGATTCTTAATGCAGGCCCTGTTCTTCGTCTGACCTTGACAAGCGCTGAAGTTATCTCCTACCAGCTATACGTTTATTTAAATGTGCCGGTTTTATAAATAGCTTGCGGTATCACTGGAAATCAACGCGATACCATCGTTCACGTCAGATATGTATGCGGAAGAGTACGTTAAGCAAGGGGCGTAATACTATTCCTTATTGGGTTACCCGCAACCTTGGGTCACTGACACTCCTTAACAAGTGCGGTCTAATCGGCGCTTAACTACAGTGTTATTTTTTAAATTCTATTGCGAAATGTGTTTTTAAAATAGATAATAAGATGTGAAATGAGTAAATAAATAAAGATAACTAGTGCTATCAAAATAACAACAGAATCATAGACGCACAGTATGCTCGGATGACAGATGTGAATGTGTAAAGGTCGTTCCGTTAAAGTCCATATTCTTTTGATGGCGGATGGGACGCGCTGTTACCAGGATCCTTATTTCCAAGGGACAGAGTTAGTCACCGAAATTACTGTTACTTCTAAGGAAAACGACGGAACGATGATTCAAGGGCAGTAATTAGTATTTTGTATGCTTAGGCCATATCATATGACTCAATAATGCTTCGGCAAACATTTAAAGATAAATTCAATAATTAACATTTTTGCCTGCTTTGGCCGCAGGCGAAGGGGTCATTCGTTGACCTACAATTTCTCGCTGACGATTTTTAAATTTAAAAATGATTTCAAATTTTCCATACGTGTACCTATGTTGACCAGACATTTTTATTGAAATGTGCTCTATAAGTAGTACCGTTTCATCCATATATACATTTATATGTATATTTACATGCTCATTTGGTTAACTATTTATTTTGCTATTCCTCTTTTTTTTTATCTATTTGAATAGCTGTTCACCCACTTAATTATTTCTCAATTTATTTTTCCATTTATCTAAATGCTCAATCATATACTTATTTACGCATCTGCATATCTATCTACGTTTGCTGTCTGGGGCATTGTTCATAAAAAGATGAACAGATGTCTTAAGTAGGTAATAAAAACAGTTCACAGCATGTTTAAAATGGCGGAATATGACCACATTTGTAATATCAAATGACCATTCCCCCCCCCCCCCCAAGAAAATGTATTGATGTTTAGATTTGTCATACCATTTGGGTACATCGACATGACAAGTGAGTTAGACCCTATGTTTATATTTAAATAAAACAGGTGTCATAGTACATATGTTTGCACAGCAAGTAACCCGGAATAAACAGTTGCATAATGAAAATGTGACTTTCAACATGGTGATCGATCATTCAGCCGTTCAAGTTGGAAAATTTACGAAAGAAAAACCAATAAATAAAAAAGAAAAAAATGTCTTTTTGATGATGTCTGATCTCTTATTGATAGCACAGTCACTTCTCTATTACATATGGGATGTGTACTTCCCCCCCCCTCTTCTTGGACGCTCTAAAACCATAGGCTGTATAGGTATGCAGTAACCTTGTTGGGAGAGAAAGAAAGAGAGAGAGAGAAAGAGAGAGAGAGAGAGAAAGAGAGAGAGAGAGAGAGAGAGGGGGGGGGGTGAGGAAGGCAAGGGCAGCAGAGTGAGGTATTGCTAACATTGCACTGTATTATTAAGCCTACATGAAATGAGGGTTTCTCGGTCGACCTGATCAGGGTCTTTTCAAGGGCGAGTTCTTTTCAACAGGAACGACCAAACAAAGCAAACAATAGAGGCACTAGTGCACTAAGGGCACATAGTAGCGTTATGCAGAGGTCATTTTTTTTTTTCAATCATTTTGTATAGTGTCTGTGCATACGAATTTACCAGCGGCTTTGCGTGTGCGGATTCGGAAAGGAAATTGTTCGCAAAAGATCAGAACAGGGCACATATGTAGATATGATTTTCATGTGTCAATCTCGAACCATAGTATTTTGTCTCCATGGATACACAGGTATATCGACAGGTACTACTATGAACTCTTAATCACATGCGTCCACGGGATCTTACCTAAAATTGCTGTCATTGAATGATTGATAATATTTTTCCGCTGCCAAGGCAACTCGTCAATCTTTATAATGTTATTATATAAATTAAAATCAGCCCTCTTTCAATATTTTAATTCATCCACGTGTAAGTAGTCTTCAAGCTGGATGGATTACAAGAATTGAAGAAACGTATGAACGTCATTTTCAGTTTGAATGCGGGATGGGGCACATTTATATAAAGACCCAAGGTGAATAGATACATGCATCAAACTCAAGTATGCCTGCATATTACTATTTTTTGTGGAGTATTTTCGACACTGTCACATTATACCAAAGTGCAAAATAATTTGAAGAAAAGGCAAAAAATCGTATCATCTGGTAGAGAAGAAAGGTGAAAAGACAGATACATAGACAAACAGGCAGGGTCAGACCAAACGGCAGAAAATATACGAACCACAGGTTGCTGACATAGGGCTATAACTTGGCATATGCATATTATTCAACTCCTTATTTCATAGAAAATTAAAAATATTATGAATTAGATCAGATTTGATTAAATTTAGGAGCACTATGTGTAGTGCCTCTTCGCAGGACATTTGAGAAAAGGGCGTTTGACTGCGCGTTATCAACGTCGACACAATTGAGAGCAATTTATACTATCTCCCCAATAATTTATATATATGTCTTCATCAACGGGTCATTATTCCCTTGTGAAATGCAGGGCTAGTCAACGTCAATATCTAACTATAAATAAAATATCATAATCGGTGACAAGCGTCCACTGGGCGAGATAAATTACCGTCATTTCACACCCGTTAAAATCCTTTGTTGGTTTGCTTGTTTATTTTGCTATCGCTGAGTTACTGTTCACCTTTGGAGGAAAAAAAACAGTGATTTGTGCAGTCAGTCAAAGGGGTCAATCACCTTTCTGCGAAAACATGAGGGAAGGAGCGCCTACGTTGACGTTCGTAGGTGTGGCAAACAGATAACATGGCAAAGTCAAATTTTCCAAGCTGAGACGCAAATTCTGACAAAACGGTGCGATACCAAGACGTATGACCTTTCTGGTATAGTTAAAGAAAGTTTATGAGGAGACTATCTCGATATCATTAAAACGGCATCGTTCATAATTAGATAAGCGAATTTTATAACAGGATTATCATGTTTTTCGTGACATCTCATTCATAATTCAAACACTAAGTACCCCACTTGTTACATTTAATTATTTAGATACACGGTTCAGATACCTACGGCTATGACCCAGTATCCTAGATTCGCATTTTCACTAAATATACTATAGATACTCTTCTAGGTATGAACCTTCTCTGCAAGCTGTCTGATTTATCAAGCTAGACGCACCTGTTTTTTTCATCTTTTACCACGCCTTTATCTGGGCACAGCCCGGAACTACCAGTATCTTGATTTTACATGGATTTACCTTCGCCAAAGATAATTTGTAATTTGTTTATTTTAATGAAAAAAGACTCAGAATGTTTGAGTCGCTCCACATCGGGAAATTAATTGAACATTTTTGTATAAGCCAAGGACGCGATAAGAGGAGAAAGGCCATCGATATCAGGATTAATCAGAGCTGTTTGATTACGGAACGTTCGAGTCGTGTCATACCGGGAAGTTTAAACCAGTAGTTGGACATTCACCGATAAGCAAAGTTTATGATCCTGTTTTTGCGTGTCAAAGTATGTTTTAATACGTGCATTTATGACCTAAATTGCTTTCTATGTTCATAAAATGAGTTGTTTTTTAAACTGATTATGTCAAGCTATAATTTTTCATAGTCTGGTATGCAGTCCAGACAGCGTCTCTTAAGGTGTGAAAACTTAGTAATGATCAAGCTAGAGGATAGATACATGTACAGAGATACAACTAAAAGCGATTGCAACTGATTTTCGTCGCAAATTCTGATTAAGAAAAGAAAAGTATTAAAGATGCAGTGATATTTTGATATGGATAGCTTCGAAAAAATTGGCTAATTTTTCTCAGAGTGCAAAAATTTTATCTTTGCTATAAATTATTGGATTCTTTTTACTTTCAGCAACAGAAATGGTGGATGAGAAATTAAGCTTATAAATCAATTTTACAGGAATATTCTAAAATCTGCATGGCCGACATGCCTATATTTATAATTAAATAAGTATAAGTTGAACTGCATAAATTGAAAATAAAGGAAGTAAAAGTATTTTCGATTCTTTCATGTTTTTTTTTAAATCTTACAGACTAATACTACCTTATCTTGAGTCACCGCATATTTTTTCAAAAATCTATATCCAAATTCGGTCTAAGATTCTTTTGCAAAACCAGTAGTGCCTGGCTATTTACAACCGAAAATGAGCCGTTCTGCTAGTCCTTTACATGATTTAGCACTCTCCGCTTGTTTACTCATATGATATCACATTTTTCTAATCGTTTGCTTTGTGGTTGGTACGTAATAACAAACAGCGTTATATTCTCTTACCTGTTCAAAATGAGACAAAAAAGAAAAAAAATACCCCATTGCTCTAAGCAACACTGAGGAGGCTGCTCACCTTTTTGTCGTTTCTTTTTCTATCGTTATCTGACGTACGCAATGCGCTGAATCGTTTCATTTAGCGATTACAGTGCTCATATTTTGTCCAGCGCAATTTTGCACGTCGGAAAACTCTGGGAACAATGTGAAAAAAAGGGGATTGTGCCCGAGGAAGATGTCTAACAGAATACCAGCGAAAGGGAATGACCCACTACCTGGAAGTTATAAGGTCCCCGACCAGATTTGGCTTGTGTGGTAGTGGTCAATATTGCCTAGCTGAACTGTAACACTTATCAACTGAGAATACGCCCCGTAAGCGAAATATGGTATCAGTATAGTTCATTCAACTCTAGACCATTTAGGTCTCTCAGTTCTTCTCCAGAATATATATTTAAAGGAGAATATATGCAAATATATATACATACAAATATCAATAAATACAGTACATCCAGCTATTTATCTTCAGCTTAACAATAAATACTAAAAAAGATACCTGGGGGTTAGGTTGTTTTAGATTTTAAAGATTATTAATTATGTAATGTTCTGAGGACTATTTACCTTCATGCCCTTCTTCTTTGCTTTCTTTTTGTTTTCC